GGGCATTCATGATTGAACTAAATATGATTTTAGATGACTTTTCTGTAGAAAGGTAAATGACTAAACAACTAATTTTATGCAATTTTTGGTCGATTTCATCTCTTGATAATTGTTTCATTTTTATAGCTTTTTTTAAGTAATTTCTTTCTGTAGCACTGTGTTTTTTTTTCAAATTCAAAAGAAAAATTCTAAAGAATTTTTATCACCTCAGCGAAATAATACAGAGAATATTTATTAATATTATTATATTATTAAATAAAATCAATATCTAAAAAAACAAGATTTTTTCATAAAACCTCTTTTTTAAACAAAAGATTTTATTTTTTCTAACCAAAAAATAAACCCCTGTAACAACAACAACCACATAAACCAAACGACAACAAAATACTTTAACTTGAAAGCAAATAAAACAAATCAGGTAATTTTGTTTTTTTTTAGAAAAAAAGGAAATAAGGCACAACTTTTTTATAGATAAACATCAAGAAAATTTGGAAAAAAATAATTTTAAATATAAAAGAAGGAAAACAATATATACGTAATAGTTATATATAAAAAATAAATAAATAATAATTATGAAGGATTTCAAAAAAAAAAAAAAAAAAAAATAGAACTAAACTAACCAACAAACAACAATGTGCTATTAGATAATTAAAATACCCTCTAGAAATATCAACAACAACAAAAAATAATAATGGCAAACAAAAAATAAGTAAATAATATATAAAGTAGGATTAGTAACAGAATCTATGGGGAAATAATTCAAATATTTATAGACACACAATAGATTGTATTATAAATGAAAACATTCCACGAATTCATTATTCAATAACTTACAAATAAAAAATCTGTATTAAAAAATTACAAACCATGCAATAAAAAATAAGTAAAGAATAATTCACAAATAAATCATAAAAAGTAGTTAATTAAAAAAGGAAAAACAAAAGAAAGAACATTTTATATAAATATTTAATATTACAAAACGAAAAAAAAAATCCAAAAGAAAAGATTATTTTTTATTTATTTCTTTTACATTTACTTATATAATAACTTTGTTAACAGTTTTTAAAATATCTAGTTAAAATTTAAATATTTTATTAGTTTCCCCCTTCCTTTTTTTGTAATATTCAAATGTAAAATTCGTCTCTTTCATCTTCTACTCCCACATATATACATACAAACATTTTTTTGTAAATAATAATAAAATAAAAACTTTAAATAGAAATACACTGTAATTTAAACCCATTATTATAAATATATATTAAATATATACATAAACATTCATAATTCAAACAATATACATAATTAAATGTATATTATTATTTATAATAATAAAAAGTAAACAAAAAAAATACTTATTTTTAACAAATTACAAGTAACAATTCCACACACACCCATACAGAGACAGACAACACACACACACACACCCAAAACAAAACTTATAAATAATTATCTATTCAATAAATTTAAACAATTGACAACAATGATGTATTAAATAATAATTTAAATTTGAAAGAAAAAATTAAAAAAACAACAACAAATAAATATATAGTAATATGAAGAAAATATATAACAAAAGTTCAATTGATGTTTTATTTAAATCAAATTGGAGGTTGAGGATTACTTGGAATTATCAGTTGAATAATGAATATCCCAGAGGATTTCTATTCTCACGGAAGCATTTTCTTTTAGAGGCAAATCCTCAAATCATAAATAATTAAGGAGCAATAAAATATGTGAAGATGGCAACGCGAATGGATCTTTTTCGTACCTAGGGCAACCTATTTGTTGTACAAACAAAGACCTAAAATGGTAAATCAGTTAATATTGAAAACTACGTTGTTATGATATCATAACAACAGAGGTATTTTCTCAGTGTTGCCATATTTTGACTCTGTCTTGTCCTATCTTTACACTTCTATGTCTTTGGTGCATACCAAAGACCTAAAATGGTAAAGGCTAGACAAAATGCATATTGGAAAAATAGTTAATGTGAAAAATATATATGGGCGCTGCTCACAACAGTGACATGTTAGCATAAAAATCATATTTACAGAGCAATTTTAAAAATAACATTTTCTGTAAAACAAATATTTGGACTAATTAATTGAAAATTGCATTTGCTTTTAAAACAACTTAACATCGGTGATTATGTTGTTATGATAAACAGAGCTATTTACACCTGGTGACAATATTTTGACTCTGTTTTTTTTTTTTCGATCGTTCCCAACGCCTCACTTTCCCGCCCCTGCCGACCGAGAGGGCCACCTCCCCATAACTTAGGGAGCACGTACACCCCATAGTCCGGATTATAGGGGGTTAGTAGACTTGGGAAACCGGCTACATCTTTATTCTTCTATGTCTTTGCTAGAAGTGTAAAGATGGGACAAGACAGAGTCAAGATATGGCAACCCTGTGAAAATACCTCTGTTGTTATGATATCGTAACAACATAGTTAGCAATGTTAGGCGATTTAAACCGCTTAGGCAATATGCAATTAACTTGGAAAGTCTATGGAATAGAATTTTGAAGCCACATTTTTGGATTTTTCACACTCTTATTTCTGATTCGTGTTTGTAATTATGTTTTTTGTATTAACATTCCTCTGTCATGAGCCGTATTGTAGACACAAACCATTAGCTCAAAATGCATTTTGTCTAGACTTTACCATTTTAGGTCTTTGCAATTTTTACAAATAGGTTACACTTGGTACGAAAATGACAAATTCGAGTTACCATTTTGTTGTAGCAAAAATTTTTGCATGTGTGAAATTTGAAGAGATTTGGATGCTTTTTTCGCTTTCTTTGAGTATTTTGTTTTTAAAAATCTTAAACCCTATGGAGAAATGGTCCAATCTCGACCATCTTTTTAACAGATCTTGTGTTGATAGAAATGTTGACATGTACCAAGTCTGAATGGAATCGGATGGTATTTTTGCGTTTTATGGGCTTCATTGGTATTCAACATTTTTACCCTTAGTGAGAGAGGTACCACGAGGAGTGGACCGAAATATTCCATCTTCACAGCAGATTTTGTTTTAGTAGAAATAATGGAATGCGTGAAATAACAAGAAAATCGGATGCTTAAGATCGTTTTTGTTATTCAAAACTTTGAACATTTGTGCGGAAGTTACCAGAAGCAGTATAGCGATCTCTATCATCTTTATGACAGATCTTGTCTTGATAGAAATATTGAGATGTATCAAGTTTGAATAGAATCGAATGTTAATTCCGCGTTTTATGAGCACAAAGCATATTTGAAATGTTAACCCTTTGTGTGGGAGGTACCAGAAGGAGTGGACCGATGTATCCCATTTTCACACCAGATCTTGGGTTAATAAAAATATTGTGATGTGTGTAATTTGAAGACAATCGGAGAATTACATTACCTTTTATAAGAGTTATAATTCATCAAAATGTAGACCCTTTGTGAAGGAGGTACATGATGGAGTGGACCGATGTTGTTCATTTTCGCACTTGACCTAACACTGATGAAAATATTGGGATTTGCAAAGTTGGAGCAAAATCGGATTATCCTTTCTCTTTCTGTGCAGTAAAATATTTTTTTAAAATTTCGAGCTTTTGTGGGGAGTTACCGGAATATTACGATGTACCAAGTTTGAACCAAATAGGATTTCAATGAATCAAAAACATGGAAGAGTAGAGAACTTGCCCCCTCTTTTTGAGTTATTATGCTACGTAAACTTTTAAACCGCCGATATATATTTTCACATTTTAGACCCCACAAAGTATATATATATATTCTTGATCAGCATAAAATTCTATGTCGATTTAGCGATGTCCGTCCGTCTGTGGAAATCACTCTAGCTTCCGAACGAATTGAAGTAGATTGATAAAATTTTACTCAAATGTATGTTATGTCTGCAGGACTTTTGGTTTTGAAAATGGGCTATGTAGGTCCACGTTTTGGTATAGCCCCCATATAACGGTACCTCCCGATATTCGGTATTTTGATGATTTTACCGACATTCTTCAACGGAATAATTTCAAATTCGGTATTTGAGGTTCATAATGGATACTACAGCCTATGACAAAAAATTGTCTATGCAGGTCCACGTCTTCATATAGCCCCCATATAACGGTACCTCCCGATATTCGGTATTTTGATGATTTTAGCGATATTATTCAGCGGACTTGTTTCAAATTTGGTATTTGAAGTTCGTAATGGATAGTACAGCCTATAACAGAAAATTGTCTGTGCAGGTCCAGGTCTTCGTATAGCCCCCATATAATGGTACCTCCCGACATTCGGTATTTTAATGATTTTACCGACATTTTTCAACGGAATTGTTTCAAATTTTGTTATTTGAGGTTCATAATGGATACTACAGTCTATGACAGAAAATTGTGTATGCAGGTCTACGACTTCGTATAGCCTCCATATAACGGTACCTCCCTACATTCGGTTATTGATTTTATCTACATTATTACCGATTTTTTTTTAAGTTTCTCATTTGAATATTGTAATGGCTTATGACAAAAGTTACCTATGCAGGTCCATGCCGTCGTATTGACCCTAATATAACGTCTACATTCGGTATTTTTAAGATTTTAACATAATTTTTTTGTTTTTGAGAATTGCCAAATTCGTTCCAAATTCCAATTCAAAGTTCGGCCCAGCCGAACATAGAGCTTTTTTACTTGTTTAATTTCTAATTTCATGAAGATTAATACACATTGATTAAGAAAAATACAAAATACATATACGTTTTCACTTTAACATTACAGGAATGAATAAGTTAATTTCAAAAGAAAGGATAATGGTTATTTTTTTTTTTTTTTTTTGTTAAAATAATATCAGAATATATTAATAATACATTTGCTTTAAACTATTGAGATCAAGTGTTGCTATCTAAACATTTAAAAAGGCCAATGTTAAGGATGTATGAGAAAATTAAAATAACCAAATAAAGCACACATGGTGTGTAGTAGTTACAATTTCCTCTCTCTCTCTCTCCCTCTCTCTGTGACATCATCACTCAACTAAAATTGACTAGCATCTATACCTAATTCTAATAACATTTTATCTAAACGTTGACTGGTTTTTTTCAAATGGTCCAATAGCCTGGTATTCTTGGCTATATTATCATATTGGGCTATCGACAAGGGCTTTAGGTGGGCAGTGCAGTGTTTCAAATGGTCCGGCAGTGATCCCTCAAACGCAGAATCACACTCCAAACATTGAGCTCTATGGCCGATGGTGGGTGGCATCAGATGCGACATTTTAATGCGATGCACAAAATCCAAATGTTGCAACATTCGCGATTTACTCGATTTGGTCTTCTTACAGAGATTACATTTCAAATAGCTCTGATGTGGCATGTGCTGGAAATAGTGGCGTTGCAAGTCGATATGCTTCGAGGTTTTCTGCAGCTGATAGCATGATAGACATAAATACGATGTCTTGAGATCATTCATTGCCTGGAACTTGGTTTTAATGGCAGTAGCCAGGTTGTGATCGTCAAAAACATGGCTGCGCCAATCGGGTTGATTGTCGAATTCTTTGAGGCACTCTGGGCACAGATAATTGATGTATTTTTGCATTTCTCTTTTTTGTAAATCCAATAGGGTTTGATCGGAGCGAAAGCGTTTCAGGGGTTCCTCATTCTCCTCGGGGATCTCTTCGAACATTTCCAGGCAAATTGCCTCCAGATCGCTGTCACTCAATTCCACCTCAATATTTGCAAGGGCATCTTCTTGTTCGGCCTCCTCTTGTTCCTGCTGCAAATCGATGCAACTTTCAGCTAAGGCTTTTTGTAGAATATCCTCCACCCGGCTGGATGGCGGCAGGGCAGGCCGCTTTACACTAGCAGCTTGCGTTTGCCTCTTCTTCTCAATCACCTCGGGCCTTTCATCGGCCATATAGATTTGTATTTGTCTCAGGGTCATGGCTTTGGCGGGTCCCGCCCATTCGCTGGGGGCACTTATATATTTTTTATTCTTCAAAAATTCCGCCCTATGATAGCGTATGAAATGTAAAAACAAATCCGTTTTATACGACTTCTGGGTGATACAGAATGCACACTGGAAATACGACGAATAAGGCAAATGGCTGAAACGGTGACGTCTCAGCTGATCTCGTGTCGGTCCATTCTTCAGCGTTGCCGAGCAGTCATCACAAAAATAATCCCGTGAATGAATAATTCGATGCATATTCAAGTTCTCCGATGTGCCCAAATGATCGTTGTCTATGTGTTCCAGCCATTCGGCGAAACGTTGAAATAATTTCCCACAATGCGGACAAATGAAACGCATGAAGAACTCCCGATTGAAGCGTGGATGCCGCAGTGTTATGGCCTGACGCATTTTCTCCATTTTATACTCATTATCCAGTTTATTCATCAGCTGGCTGTGACAACGAAACAGGTGTACCGACAATGTCCGCTTCTTGACATAGGTCCCAGCACAGTAGCGACACTTGAAGGGTCCACCATAACTGAGATGGGAAAAACGATGATTCTGCAGCAGTGTCAGGGACTGCAGACCATGCGTCAGTCGTTTCAGACAAATCTTGCATTCATGGTATTTATTATCGATGATGCGGAAACCAAAATCCGTTGCAGATTTGTTATGATAATCGTGAATGTTGTTCAGATGTAGTCGCCACTCATGTTGGCTATCTGTGGTCTGGCCACATTCGGGGCAAACAAATATCATATGGCGTTCCATGGCCAGTGTTTTATCGACAGCGGCAGCACCATCTTTACCGTTATTCATTGTTAACAAATTGTTTTTATTTGGCTTCCTTGGTAATATATTTTTTTATTTTTTCTTCAGATTTTTCTCTTCTTTATAAATTTCTTACATGTTTACAAACAAACTGAAAAACGGATACTAAACTACAATGACAAGTGCACCCTCGCCCCTCTCTCCCACCACCAAATGGCTGGCGATTGTCAATTTACTACCCTTAAATAACGGTACGCTAAGCCGGTATGGTGTTGTGTGTATGAGAGGGGTTGCCATTTCTCAACAATCGTCTTACAGGGTTGGAAATGCCGTATTATCATCATTAGTCAAATGTTAATTAGAAAGCCTTAAGTCAGCCACTAAAAAGTTACATTTACAGTTATTTCTTGGTAGAATCAAAAGCATATGACAAACTTTATTTTTCCATGACTATTTCTCTCCGTTTTTCTCTCACCCCAAACTCGTAACATATGAACGTAAGAATTTGGACGGTGTTGCCAGCACTTGCTAGGAAGGGTTGGCAATGTAACAAACCGGAAATTATGGCATGTCTGTTGTTCAATGAGGCGTTGGCATTTCTCGCTGCAACGTAAGTGTTGCCAATTAATCAGAAATTGTTAAACAGAGTTGATAGTTGTAAATTTGATTTTTAATGCCAAATAGAAAGGTTTTTTTTAAAAATAAACCCATAAAATTCGAAACAAGTAAAAAAGCAGCTATGTTCGGCCGGGCCGAACTGTTAATACCCACCACCATTTTACAGGATTTTGAATAATTAAAAAAAAATCCGTCAAAAAATACCACTTAAATGAAAACCGTTATATGAGGGATATACGAAGACGTTTTTGTCATAGGTTGTAGTATCGATTCCGAACTTCAAATACGAAATTTGAAATAATTCCGGTCAAAATTTCCGTTAATGTCATCAGAATACTAAATATTGGAGAGTGCCTCTCTTCCAGAGAGTAAAGTACTCAGAAGGAACTCCTTGTGTGGATTTTGAGGCAATTTCATTGAAAATTTTAGCTACACTCATCAAAATATCGAATATCGTTATCATTATATGGGGGGTATACGATATCATAGACCTAAATAGACAATTCTCTTACAGATGGTAAAGTACCCACAAAGAACTCGTTGTGTAGAATTGTGTATTGAAAAAATGTGGCTAAAATCATGAAAAATCATGTCGTTATATGTGGAATATACGATATCGTAGACTTATATAACAATTCTCTTCCTGGGGGTAAAGTACTCAGAAGGAACTCCTTTTATGGATTTTGAGGCAATTTCATTGAAAATTTAAGCTACACTCATCAAAATATCGAATATCGTTATCATTATATGGGGGATATACGATATCATAGACCTAAATAGACAATTCTCTTACAGATGGTACAGTACCCACAAAGAACTCGTTGTGTAGAATTTCAGACAATTCCATTGAAATATGTGCCTAAAATCATTAAAATACCGAATATCGCGGGGTACCGTTATATGGCTACAATATCGTGGACCGATATAGCCCACCTTCGAACTTCACCTGCCTACACACAAAATACTGATCTGTGCAAAATGTTAGCTTCCTATCTTAATTCGTTTTGACTCTAGCGTTATTACAACAGACGGTCGGACGGAAAGGGCTAAAACGTGAACTTAATATACTCACTATACTATGTATGGTGAAGGGCATAAAGTTGAATAAAATCTTTATTATACCCTCCAATTTGAAAAGAAGGATATATAAACCCCGTTCCGTTCGTAACATCCCTTAATATTCGTCGTAGACCCCATAATGAATATATTCACAATTTGCATAAAATTCGAAGTCGATTTAACGATATCCGCCTGTCTATCGGTCCGTCTGTTGAAATCACGATTTCAAAATTTCGCAGAGCAATTTGTATTATGTTTAGGATAGTTAGTATTGAAAATGAGAGATATCGTAACGGTACCTCCTGATATTCGGTATTTTGATGACGTCTGTCACATTTTTTCGAAACATTGTATGCATAGATTAACGTTTTTCTATAGCGCTCATATAACGGTATCTCCTGATATTCGGTATTTTGACGATTTTTGTCACATTTTTTCACGGATTTGTGAAAAAATTTGGTATTTGTAGTTCGAAATGGGTTCTAGCTCCTGCGGCGGGATATTGGATATTTATGTCCACGTTTTCCTATAACGCTCATATAACGATACCCACCGATAGTCGGTACTTTAATAGTCCTTGTCACATTTACTCACGAAATTGTTTCAAATTTGGTATTTAAGAAGATTTGGTAGATGAAAGTCCTTGAAGTATAAAATTGTCTATAGAGGTTTCCGTTTTGGTATGGCCCCCATATAAGAGCCTCACCCACTTTATTGTTTTTTGAAGCGTTTACAAGCATTCCCCAAAACAGTCCTATTGGTATTTTTAGTTTAAAGTGGAACACGTTTGAATTCAGATTCTTTTATATAAAAATGTTTCCTTTACCCTAAGGTGGAGGGTATTAAAAGTTCGGCCCTGTCGAACTTATTTTTTTTAGGTGTTTGTATTGATAGTACGGTCAACATAATTTAATGTCGGAAAATTATTTCATGAAATGTTGAACGCGACAGCAGACGGAATGCCCACAAACATTTTTATCAATCAGCTGGTTTGTCAAAAAAACAACTTAAAAATAAAGGTGCTTCAAAATTCCTTACCAAAATATAAATCAGTGGAAGTTGAAAATTAAAAAAGCAAGAAAAAAATCGCCCAACAAGAATTTGGAATCGTACAGAGAAAGAAGTGTCAACATTTCTCCCTTGAATCACTCTATTTTGCAGAACTTTTGGGTTATCAGACACACCTAATAATGATATAATTTGGGAAAGTTGGCAATCATACATGGGCCAAACTAATCAGTGAGTTGCCAACTATCTCATAATGGAAGAGTACAGGAAACTGAAAATAACGGTCGTCATGTATCAAAATTTGTCTTCAGTTCGATATACAGGGTTGGGAGTGTCATGACGTTTAATGCTAACTTTCTGTAGGGTTGAAAATTCCATATGACAGAAAAACAAAAATGTTCACCAACTACCCTTTAAATGTTGAAAACTGGATGTGTAATCGCCGTAGGGGTTGCCACTGTTTTTTTTCCTTTAAAACGATCATCCCCCGTTATGAAGAAAATTTCGTCATCATCCACAATGTCTAGAAACATGCCCCAATTATTTTACAAAAACTACCCCTAAATATTAGAATGATGATAAATAGTCTGAATGGATGATAATGCATATGCTGTCCTTAGGAGGATAAATGTTTGTAGCCACATGTCAGATAAAAGTATTGAAAATTTTGACTCTGCGAGTCAATTACCAGAAGGGGTTCGCAGACATATATCATCTTCACAACAGATTCTGCGTTAGCAAAAATATTTGGATGTGTGAAATTTGAAGATAGTTGGATGCTTATTTCGCTTTCTTTGAGCGTTTTGTTTTTCAAAATCTTGAATCCTATGTGGGGGAGGTAAAAAATATCCGATCTCTATAATTTTTATAACAGATCTTGTGTTGATAGAAATATTGAGATGTGCCAAGTTTGAATGGAATCGGATGTTAATTTCAGGTTTTATGAGCTTCATGGATATGCAATATTTTGACCCTTTGTAGGAGAGGCACCAGAAGGAGTGGACCGATCTTCACACCAGACCTTGTGTTAGTAGAAATAATGAGATGTGTGAAATATGAAGGGAACCAGATGCTTATTTCGGATTTTATGATCGTTTTGGTTATTCAAAACTTTTACCCTTTGTGGGGGAGGTACCAGAAGGAATGGTACAATCTCTACCATCTTTAACACAGATCTTGTATTGATGGAAATTTTAAGATGTGCCAAGTCTGAAGGGAATCGGATGTTAATTTCCCGTTTTATGAGCTTCATGGATACTGAAAATTTTGATCTTTTGTGGACGAGATACCAGAAGGTGTGAACCGATATGTCCCATCTTCACACCAGACCTTGGTTTAATAAAATTATTGTGACGGGTGTAATTTGAAGAGAACCGAATGCTTATTTCGGATTTTATGATCGGTTTTGTTATTTAAAACATTGACCCTTTGTGGGGGAGGTACCAGAAGGAATGGTCCAATCGCTACTATCTTTATAACAGATCTTGTGTTGATGGAAATATTGAGATGTGCCAAATCTGAATGGAATCGGATGTTTATTTCGCGATTTATGAGCTTCATGAATATTCAAAATTTTGACCCTTTTTGGCGGTGGTGCCAGAAGGAGTGGATCGATATATTCCATCTTCACACCAGACCTTGGTTTAATAACAATATTGTTACGTGTGTAATTTGAAGACAATCGGACTCTTACTTCACATTTTATAAGAGTTGCAATTATTCAAAATTTTGACCCTTTGTGGGGAAGGTACTGACTGATATTGCCTATTTTCGCACCTGACCTATCACTGATGCAAATATTAGAATATGCAAAGTTGGAACAAAATGGGATCTCTTTCTTTCCATAAATTATTTTCTTTGAAAATGTTGTCATTTTGTAGGGGAGGTATTAGAAGGAATGGGCCGATATTGCCCATCTCTGAACTCGATCTAAGTTTGACAATAATATTACGATGTACCAAGTTTGGTTCAAATCGGATACTCCCTTCGTGTGTTATCGTGCGCGCCAGCCAGCCAGCTAGACGGACGGGCGGACATTGATAGATCGTCTCCAAATGTTCTGAAACGGATTTGTTTCAATGAGACCTAGGGTGTAAAACCGGTATTTCGATGAGGCACGTTTTGGCCGTATCAAATAATATATACCCTCCCTAGTCATATGGATGAGGGTATAATAATAATTTCACCCCTTTTGAAATACACATAAATATTTATGAGATTTATAAAATCATTTTTTAGATACATATTTTTTATTGATTTATCAAAATCTAATTTAAATTTATATAATTAAAATTTGTCTAAAGCCACAAAAGTATTTACTCAACATGCATTAGCAACTATGTTGTTGTTGATGCTGCTGATTTTGCCTCCTCCAGCATTGCATCGAGACGTTCACTGGCCGTCTTCAAATGTTCTAATAATCGCTCGTTTTCGGCAATATTAAATTTACCCTTGGGCAGGGGCAGCAGCCGTTTCGGACACACACGACAATGCGTACGGAAGCGGGCCAATGTCGTATACACCTTATCACATTGTAAGCATTGGTGTTTTTTCGAAAACTTTTTCGGCTGTTCGGCATTTATCTCGCGCCGGGAATGCATCAGATGGACATAGTCCATGTGTTGGACCATTTTGGGTTTACTCGATTTGGTCTTACTGCAAATAATACATTTCAGATACGACTGGAAGGGCATGTGCTGGAAATGATGTCGCCGCAGATCGGCATGTTTCGTCGTTTTCAGAATTTGATGGCAAACTAAACATAGATACATTGATTTTTGACTATTCAAAGGACGAAATTTAGATTGGACAGCATTTATAAGATTGTGGGCTTCATAGACATGTGCACGCCATGTAGTTTGGTCGTTAAACTCTTTGCCGCACTCCGGGCAAAGGTAGTGTATGTATTTCTGCATTTGCCTGGTAAGATTGAAATTTTCCATTAACAGCAACGAACCACTGGAAACACTATCGGGAAGTTCTTCAAACATTTCTTGGTATATTGTTTCCAAATCTTGTTCGCTGATCTCGGAAAGTTGTATAACACAAGACTTGCTGGATGATGCTGGGGCTGTTCTATTTTTGTGTGCAAATGAATTGAGACTTTGATCCAATGCATTTTCATGATTAAATTTCGCGATTGTGGAAACATCAGCATTACTATCGTCATCCAGATTAATGTCCAGCAAAGCTTTTTGCAGAATATCACTTTTTTGCCTGAGTCTCCCCTCCCCCAACAGACTTTGAATTTCCAATACAATGCTTCTTTCTGGACATCCACCCCATTCCTCAGGCATAACAATCAATTTTTTATATTTTACAAATTCCCTGTTGTGGTATTTGATGAAATGCAGCAAAAGTTCCGTTTTATACTCTTTGCGGCTATAACAGAATGCACATTGGAAGTAGCAGGGGTATGGCAGATGGCTGAAGTGATGCCTTTGCAATTGGCTGCGACTGGGGCCATCTTTCAAGGTGAACGAACATGTACTGCAATAGTAATTATTCGTTCCAGTTATCCGATTCATATTCAAATCCACCGATGTACTGGGATGGGCTGAATCCAAATGCAACAGCCAAATGTGAAAACGTTCAAACAATTTACCACACAGAGGGCACAGGAAACGTATATAGAATTCCTTGTTTATGCTGGGGTCCCTTAGGGGATTTTTTATATCACCACCACTGCCATGTGCTGCAACTACGGCGGTGCGCTCAAGTTTGTTTACCAAACTAGCGTGGCTACGAAACAGATGATCTATCAGGGAACGTTTACGATAAAATGAACCACGACAATGCCGACAACGATATATCTTGGGAAAGGGTAAGTGATTGAAGCGATGATATTGCAAAACGGCTGGGGTTTGGCGACCATTTGGAATCCATTTAAGGCATACTTGACACTCATGATGTTTACTGTCGATTTCCTTGAAATTGAAGTCACTGGCACTCTTAGTTGCATACCCATGGATGTTGTTGATGTGACGTCGCCACTCGGATTGTGTATCATTTTGTTTGCCACATTCGGGACACAGGAATACCATATGTTTCTCCAATGAGCTGTCATTGTGTTGGACAGAGGCCATTGTCCATTTGGGATTTTACTCTCGGTTTTTCCAATTACCAATTCAATTCACTTGATCTTTTTGTTAAGAGGTGAGTCTATTTGCTTCTGGAGTCCTTAGTGGAAAAACAAAATGAAAGATGTCCCCAAAGAAACAAATAAGAAAAGCAAAAAAGGAATTCCCGAAAAAAACATAAAGACAAAGCAAAATCCCCGCTTACCTCTGTTGTTTACGAATGAGACATGAGGAAAATGCAATCAGCAAGAATCACTGATTTAATGAGCCACAGAACTAGTTGCTTACATATGCAGTTTCAAACAAAACTAAAATCGTTCCAAACAATGAAATCAAAACAAATGGAGGTAGCGTTAGACTAAGGGATTTATCGCAAGTGTTCTTGATTAAATAATGAAGCCTTATTTCATAAAATGCAATTACGAACACCCAGTTCGTCAATTTCAAGAAGTATCGGTTTATATAGGCTTATTAGGGCAATAATCTGTGATTTTAAAGAACATTTTATTAAGGGATAATCAAGAATATTGTAAATTTAAAAAAATAATAGTTATATAATGGCTAAAGTCAGTTTTTTTTTATTTTAAGGACTGCTGAAATTTGTCACAGGGAAAGTATGTTCTGTAATCACAGATTTTTTAACAATATTTTTCAAGGACAGACAAGTCTAGAATAAGGGATTGTGTACAGATGTTTTCGGAATTTTATTAGAGGCGTAATTTTCTTTATTTTGAAAAATCTTCTTGAAGGAGTAGTAGGGCTATAATTGTAGATGTAAATATTTATACTATTAAGACAGTACTGGAAATAAAACTGTAATATATAAAACAAGATTTTTTTAGAAAAGAAATATTCTTTTAAAATTTTAAATATTTTTTTAATGTAAAACAAAAATAAAAAACAAAGAAAAATTAAAAATCATATATATATAAATTTACAAATAATTACAACTTATGGACTAAGGATGTACGAAAATTTTTAAAAATAAATAACAATTATGTAACGACTATATTTTTTCCTACGAACGATAAAAACTATTAACAAATTTCTTTTAACTTTCAATTTACAACTATTTACACAATTCTTAAACAATACAAAGATCCCTACTTATGTTGCCTCATATTCGACCATAAACGCAACGAAAAATGATAGATCATCTCAACCATACTTAAAATGGAGAAGCCCATAAACAATCCAAAAATACCGCCACAATTGGCAAGAAAATCTGTTACGCCATATAACTCTGAACGTTTGGAGGTAATAAATTGATTTTCTTTAAAATAGATTGATAAGCGTGACATCTGTGAGCCAGGATTATCTTTCAAATAATCCTCATTTCCGGTGGCCTTCAACATATCGTACAAATCAAAATTAGCTTGTGAAATTTCGGTATTATAATCCAACGAAGTACAGGCCGGCATACAATTACACTCCGTTTCAATACGATCTTCGTTGAGTATGTCCTTTAGTCCCTCGGAAAATTCTCTCAACAAGAGACTATCCTCCGCGCGATCATAACAATGGATTTTATCTTCACCACACACGGGCGTATCAGGTGTTCGTGGCATGGAAAATTTAACACAACCACACATCTTGAGCGTATAATTTGCCAAACATTCCAATTCACAGTTGTTTTGGGAATAAATTTTAAAAAATTTCAGCGATCGCTCACTGATCATATAACATTGCCGGCGATTTGGTTCATATTCGGCAATTCCCGCTGAGGTGGTAATCATATTTGGTTTGACTGCAATTAAAATCTCTTTGCCCATGGGTATGCGTACAAATTGCTTGGACACCAAGGGAACATCGTCGGGTGCGTGGAGTAAAACCTTGAAGCCTTGAATGGGGCCACGACATCCATAGTCCAGCTCTTCTTTGAAACTTTGCAGGACAATGAACAGACCTGCTCTGGCCCCGGCACTCAAGACTCTTGCCGGATAGGTATTTAAACCGCTATTCGACGCATATCCCTGCTCCAAAGACCAACTCAGTGTACGATTAACAATTTTGGAATGTTTTACCGCACTCTCCAAACCCATTTGCTGATATTGTACGGTATTTTCTCGATACAAATCGGTGCCATTCAAACCATTGAAGGTATAACAAATGCCCTCTTCGGTATAGGATTTGGTAAACAACTGATCGCATTCACTAAAATGACTAAACCATTTGCAATAGAAATAGTGTTGGGAGAAATTCGGTAACATTTTATTCAGTATTCCAATATAGTCGAGCGGATGATGGGCTAAACGTTCAATTCCATCATCTATAATTTGGGTATTGCATATGTGAAGCAGGGTAAGAAATTCTTGAAATTCGGTTGAGTTTATTTGTGGACGAAATTCATTGCCCTCGGCGAGATCAGATTTTAATTTGTTTAGCAATTGCATATAGGATGGACCTAAAAAGACAATAATATTACATTTTTTCAATAAACAAACGAGAGCAATATCTTACCATCATTACGCACTGTTCTCTTCGTCTCCGAGCATATGGTTACAGCTGGAAATGGTATACTCCATACGGGTGTTGACTTTTCCGAAAAACTCACAATGACCGGCGTTTCGGTCCATTTCTCGTAGATGTTTTGTATTAAATTCGTACAACAGCAAATCGATACAAAAAACACTGAAATCCAAAATAACTTCTCCTTCCACGGACGACGTTCACCCAAATATTGCACCCCATGGATTGATGTATTGGCACAATATTCAAAGTAAATTTGTTTTATACCCTGCCAGAGGGAAAATGGTTTCTTGGGCGTTTCTTGTTCTTGTTCTTTAGCGTCGTTGATTGGCTCCTTTTCATTTGGAATTGTAATGATATCATTTTCGTTTATATCAAACAAATTTGGATCCATAATTAAACAACAATACTTTTAAAATGAGTAATAATTATTTGTTTCACTTTTGTAGCTCTTTTAATGTTTTATATGTATATAACTTGTGAACATGTATGCTAGTTTGTTTTTTCCAAATTTCTCTATCTAGAAAGACCGAACAGCAATATAACACACTTATCCTCCCTCAGAGATGTAAAATGTTACAATATGGCGAGATCATGGCGCATTAATATAGAATTCCTACAAGCCAACACTGTTTTGTTCCTGCAAAATTTAAAAGCTAGGTGTGATAGATGTAATTTTCAAAATATGTCTGAAAACGTAAAAAACTTTTACATTAGGATATCTAAAATATATAATACTAATATATTATTAATATAATAATTAATCATGTTGTTGTTGCCAGTGCCTCTTCTGCGATAACAGGGGTCACCATATGTGGGCGAGGTTGACACTTGAAACGGATAGGATATGTAATCCCACCACTTTCATTAAACGTGAAGTTATTTACGATTATTTATTATCTTCTCTAGGATCGACAGATCATTAAAATTGAGTTTTTTGAAATTATTTTAAATGTGGATGTTTAAAAGAATTTACAATTTTTTTCAAGAACCAACAGACAGGTTTTGGAACAACTCTAGTTTAGTAAAAACTTAGTTTTTATCGACATTTTTCCAGAGGTAGGTATTTTTACCCTGATTCCGGGAAACTATTTTCTTCTTGGGGGACGGACCCGCGCCACAGATTTTTGACCCGAGAGTCCGGGGTCAAGACCCGGATCCACTTACCCGATATAGACAATATAGGTATCGTTTGAAAGCTTATGAAAATACCCGGAACTGGGGTCACGGGGCAGTTCCCCAAGAAAATAATAGTTTCCCGGGATCAGGGTAAAAATACCTACCACTAAAAAAAATAAAAAGTTTTTACTAAACTAGAGTTAAGCCCCAGATTTTTTAACTCTAGAAGACCTTAAACGTACATGTTTAAAGAATATCAAAGCAGTACAGACCATTTAATATGTTTCGAGAAACGTACCTCTGAATGGTGTGTGTGAAGGTTTCTATATTATATATTGGTTGGTTGGTATATTCAAACATTCGAGACCTTCCAATTTAAAACAATATCCTAATTATTATTTTGCACCAGGTCTTATCTTAATTTCAGGTCATCTCTCTTACTGTATTAGCCAGATAGAACGTAGGAAACAATGCCATTTAAACCAAAGCATAAATAGATGTATTTAACCTATTAGACTCTCATGCCCACAATTAAACCAATTAAATTAAATTTTGGTTTTGGGATTTACTCACTGTTTTTTCAATATGGCCAATCTGGTCCTGATAATTCTATACAACCAATGTATCCAATTGGATTCCAATTCAATTCACTTGATCTGTTTAAGGGCGCGCGCGCGTTTTTTTTTTATTTTTTGAAGAGCCAAACCAAATGAGCGCGTGGGAAACCAAAATGAAAGACGTCCCCAACGAAACAAATAAGAAAGGCAAAAAAGGAATACCCAATAAAAATAAAGTGAAGGCATAATCCCGAGTATCTATTTGTTTACGAATGAGTGTAATGCATAATGCATCTGTTGTTTACGAATGATACATGAGAAAAATGCAATCAGCTGAAAGCATTCATTAAATGAGCCGCATAACTAGTTGCATATATACCCTACATAAAAATGGTAATGCCATGTTGACGTTAGAACTTAACTTACTTTAGGAGGCTTTATTTGAAGTTTGCGTAGTGGATAACCCATTGATATGTAAACGTACCGTAAGGATGGTAACGTACATTATAAATAAAGGTGGTAATGGTAATGGTAGAAGCAAGGCATGGTAGAAGAATATAGGTAGACGCGTCGACATCGCTGCTGGGACAACGAACTGTCAAACCAATTTCGGAATTGAAAATGTTGAATGAAAAATTATTTAAATTTGTAAAAATTGTTGAAAAACGCGTATTATAATAGCCTCCGAATGACGTAGTATAAAAAACATATAAGAATCTATTTATATTTGAAAAAACATTTAAACATTTTTGACATATCAATGCTCCCAAGCTTTGATGCATCTACCTGTATTTTTCTGCCATGAAGTAAGGCCTATATAAGGTGGGACGGAAAGACTAATTTTAACAATGATTTGGCAATAAACTTAGCAGTTTTTGCACAATTGTGATTTGACTCAATTTTAATTTCAAATCGCAATTGTATTTTTGACAACAAACTTGGCTCTCAGATGGGCGTTCTGGCCGACCCATTGTAGGCCTTGGGTAGAAGAATATAAATAGTCGCATCGACACAGCTGCTGGGGCAATGAACTGTCAAAGCAATTTTGGGATGAGAAATTATTCAAATTTGTAAAAAAAATTAACAATGCATACCGTAACAACCTCCGATTGGCGTCATATGGGAAAACATATAGAAATCTACTTATTTTTGAAAAAAATAAGATTTAAATAATTTTGAGATATCAATGTTCCCAAGCATTGATGCATCATTCTATATTCAGTTACCATGGTCCATGGCGATGACAGAAAATTGCCTATGCTGGTCCACGTTTTGGTATAGCCCCCATATAATATTGTAATGGCTTATGACAAAAGTTGTCTATCCAGGTCCACGTCGTTGTAAAGACCTTAATATAACGGCTACATTCGGTATTTTTAAGATTTCAAACAAAATTTTAACGGATTTTTTCTTTTGAAAATTTCCAAATTCGATCCAAATGGTGGAGGGTATTTGAAGTTCGGTCCGGCCGAACTTACAGCTTTTTTACTTGTTTATCTTAACAAATTTTTCAAATACCTCAAATTTTTACTCTTTGCGTTATTAGATTTTACCATTGTTCTGAGTAGAACCAACAAAATCAATATCGGTTACTTTCTCATCAGTGAGTGAGAGTTTTATTTTTATAAATCTTGTGCAACCGCAGTATTGCAAATTCTACGATTAGTATTCATAAGTCTTTTAATCGTACCGGAGTTAAGTTCACTGAATTTTCTGTGTCAATTCTCGATAATTAAGATATCCCAAGGTAAACTTCTTCCCTAAGTAAAAAAAAATTAACAAGTAAAAAATCAGCTAACCGGGTCGAATTTTTAATACCATCCAACATGTTGAAGGAACTTGAAAATTTTACAAAAAATTCCGAAAAATACCATTTAAATGATGACCTTTATACGGTGGCTATACGAAGACATGGACCTGCATAAGTAATTTTTTGCCATTTGACCCATTAAGATCTTCAAATAAGAAAATTGAAGCAATTTCGGCTTAAATCATCAAAATACCGAATAAAGGACGCATACGAAATTTTTTGTCATAGGCTGTACTACCTGTTCCGAACTTTGAATACGAAATTGGAAACAATTCCGATGAATAATGTCGCTAAAATCGTCAAAATACTGAATAAAGGGAGGTACCGTTATACGAAGACGTGGAACTGCATACGAAATTTTTAGGCATAGGCTTACTAACTTCGAATACGAAATTGGAAACAATTCCCGTAAATAATGTCGCTAAAATCATCAAAATACCGAATATCGGGAGGTACCGTTATATGGGGGCAATACGAAAACGTGAACCGATATGGATTTACGAACTTAACCTGCCTACTGGCAAAACACACATGTGTGCAAAATTTAAGCCTTCTATATCAATTCATTCGAAAGATAGCGTGATTACAACAGACACACAGATGGACAAACAGATAGACACACAGAAAGGCGGACTTCGCTACATCGTCTTAAAATTTTACGCTGATCCAGAATATATATATATAGTTTGTAGGGCCTATCATGAATATTTCGAGGAGTTACAAACGTAATGACAAAGCTTATATACCCTCCCTAAAATGGTGGGGAGTATAAAAATGGATTTAAGAGGATTTAAGAGCGTCGTATATAAATATTTTGTGCGTTCATGATCCATATACTAGAAGCCATTAGACTTTTGACATATATTTATAAACAATAAAGACCGCATATCTATCTATAAATTTTGGTTTTAATAAAATAAAATTAAGCTTCAATGTTTGTAGACAATGTCTCGTTGCGCCTAAATGTAGGCTTCGATATTGTGATTTCTTATATGATTATACAGTGATGAGATAAAAAAATGCAAAAACCTCAAACGCCAAACAAATCCAAATTTATTCTAAAATTTAATGCTATTTCCGACATATTTTGTTTTCTTTACATTTTTTTAAATTTTATTGAATGAAGCCAAAAAATGTCGGAAATATCATCAAATTTTAGAATAAGTTTAGATTTGTTCGAATTGGTCACCTTTGGTACGAATTTATGGCCTTCAAACGGCCAATGAAACCGTCACACGCTGCCCGAATGTTGCTTTGCGCGGTATTTTGGCCCATTCCCGGCGAAGTGCTTGCTTGAGGTGATCGACACTTTGGTAGTTTTTAGTGCCAACCTTGCCTCCCAAAATACTCCAGACACAATAGTCCAACGACGAATTGGTATCCGGAGATTTTGGTGGCCATTTTGCGCTGGAAATGAAGCGAGGAACCTCATTTTTAAGCATTTTTGGGTGGCGCGTGCTGGGGGCGACGGTGCTGAGTCCTGTTCGAATGTCCAAGGTCTGCGGTTTGAGTGCTCAAGACTTTAATAAATCCTCCAGAATATTTTTGGGATAATATTCGGCATTTATTCTGATGCCACGGTCTATTAATACGAGCGGATAGCGACCATCGGCTATTATGGCGGCCCACACTTTTACCATGGACGGCGCTTGAGTTCTGGTGGCCAACCGAAGGTTTACAAACTGCTGGACAACGAATGTTTTCTCATCGGACAGGAGAAAACCAAATTCGGCAAGTCACCACTTTCGGCCAAGCGAAGCAACTCTTTAGGTCTTTTGAGTCTATTTTCTTTTGCGGTGTAAGTTCTTGCACTTGTTTGAATTTTCAATGGCACTACCCCGAGCTCATTTTTCAATGTTTGCCGAATGGAATATTGCGATATGTTCAGCTCACCAGCCATTCTCATCGGAGAAAACCAAATTCGGCAGTTCACCACTTTCGGCCAAGAGAATCAACTCCTTAGCTCTTTTGAGTCTATTTTCTTTCTTTTGCGGTTGCGGTGTAAGTTCTTGCACTTTTTGGAATTTCAATGGCTTTACAACGATCTCATTTTTCAATATTTGCCGAATGGATTATTGCGATACGTTCAGCTCACGAGCCATTTTTCGGGCCCACTGCGACACGGGTTTCGATCAAGTCGCTACATTACTTTTCGAACCATTTCTGCTGATGTTGCTGTTTTCTTCGGGCTAGACTACCAGTATCACGGTAACGAACGATGGTACGAGACACAAAAGATTTATTCACATTTAAATGCTGGAGTGCTCTGACGATAGCCACTTGGGGTTTTCGAGCCAAATATAAAGAAATCACACTATCACGACCCTTGAATTCCATCACGAATAACTTTTTTTGTGTGCCTTTGTAATGAACTGTCAAACTGATTTTGGAATTGAAAATGTTGAATGAAAAATTATTTTAATTTTTCAAAATTGTCGAAAAGATCCATATTAAAACAACCTCCTATTGGCGTCGTAGAAAAACATTTAAAAATCTAGTTATTTTTTATAAACCATTTATAAATTTTTGACATATCAATGTTTTCAAGCGTTGATGCATCTACCTATATTCTTCTACGTTTTCATCAATCCACGCTCATTCACGTATAAATCCCAAACTTGGCATCACTTTTTTCATTTCCGCCAACCATTGTTTTTTTTCAAGTGGTGTATACATTATCGATCCTGTTGGTGTAATCATCCCTAGCTGTAACAATTGTTATTTAAAGTGGGGCATACATTATCAATCATATAACGATTCTTATTTATATGTTATAACCATTGTAAAACCAGTAATCACCTTTGGGTTCTAAAAGAATGGATAACTTGGAATGTTTTTAGCTACAATATCCCAATCAAATGCACGATTTTCGTTCAAAATAAATTTAATGTTCATAACCTAAATTTATTCTTTCCATATCCCATTTTAATTAAATCTCTCCCTATTTTTTACTTCTACTTCTAAAACTCGAAGGATAACATGGTTATCAATAACTCGGAAAACTTCCCACCCGGTGCGAATCTAAAATTGGTAGGTATCTCTCAACTTGCCAAAAAGGACTCACCAACCCAAAAAAAGAATCTACGCGAAGGTCTCAAAGCAATTTACTATGAATATTGTTCAAATACCTCGGTGCATGGTATCCAATATCTGGGACAAAACCGCCCACGGAAAGAGATATTTTTCTGGTTGTGCATCTTTATTCTATCGATTTTCTATTGTTCACAAATCATTGCCAAAGTCTATCAGAAATGGAATGATACTCCAGTCATTGTTAGCTTTTCGGAACATTCAACACCCGTATCGGATATACCGTTTCCAGCGATTACCATTTGCCCGGAAATAAGAAGAAGAGCACCAAAAGATGGTAAGCTAAACAATCTTTCTCTCTCTCTCCGGATTCTCTTAATAATACTCTATTCTCTTGGAAACAGGTCCAAGTTTCAGTTTGCTGTTGAAAAATTTAACACTGGATTCGGAAATTTCGCAAAATCTAACCAAAAGCCAACTTGGGGAATTTCTCACCCTGCTGCAGACATGTAGCACCGATGTATATACCTCGAAAATTCCCAAATTATCAAATGAATCTTTTGATTATATTCGAATCATAGACGACATGGCCATCGATATCAAGGAACAAGCCATGGCCTGCGAATGGCTTGGCATTGAAGGAGGTTGTACAGATCTGTTTACCCGAACCTATACCGATCATGGTCTATGTTATACATTTAATGGTTTCAATGGCACTGATTTATATCGCGAAAATACCACGCAATATCGTCTGATGGGCCTTGAGAGCACTGCTACGGAAACTTCTGAGAAACGTTTGAACCGTACCCTAAATTGGTCACTCGAAGAGGGTTATCCCAAAAATGCTCCACTCAAAACATATCCCGCTCGGGTTGTAAGTGCCAGTACAACGGCTTCCATTGAGATAGCATTGAGGATACTCACCGACAATACAGATTACACTTGTAGTGCCGGCACCGAGGGTTATAAAATTGTTCTTCACACACCGTCCGATGTCGCCTCACTGTCCAAACGTTTTGTACGAATATCACCGCGTAAAGAAGTCTCGATTGCCGTTAAACCCGTCATGCTGACCACATCGGAAGGTGTCGCCAATTATTCGCCCGATAAACGGAGATGTTACATGAATGGCGAACGTTATTTAAAATTTTTCAAAATCTATAGCGAACGTAACTGTGAAATGGAATGTCTTACCAATTTTACCCTCAAAGAATGTGGTTGTGTGAAATTCTCCATGCCACGCACCTACGATATGCCGCTATGTGCAGAGGATAAAATCACCTGTTATACTGAGGCGGAAGATAAAATGTTATTGGAATATTTCGGTGACCGCGATAAGGATCCTTGTAAATGTATGCCATCTTGCACATCGCTGGACTACGATGTGGAAATATCCCAATCGGATTTTAATGAACAACAAATTTTCTCAGCTTTTGGATTAGCCGACCGGGAAGCAACAAAGTGGTCCCTTTTAATGATACACTTTAAGGGCAATGAATTTATAACATCCAAACGTTCGGAACTATACGGTTTTGCTGATTTCCTAGCAAATTGTGGTGGTATTTTGGGACTTTTTATGGGTTTCTCCATATTGAGTTTAATCGAATTTTTTTATCACCTGACGTTACGTCTGTGGTCGAATATGTCAAGTAATGATTGATTTTTATGTAAACCTTGATAAAATTAAGAAGGTAAAGCAATTTCAAATAAAAATATCCATCTCTGCATTTTCTGTAATTTACCTTGTCAAATTTCGCAGCATAGAATACAGGTTCCCATCTCTGATTTCTGTATGTACAATAAATTTGTAAACATAATTTTTGACAATGAGATGTTGTCAAACGGATAATTTTGAAAAAAATTGTAAACATATGACTGCATGACTTTACCTTCTTAATTCTACCATGCTTAAATATTTACTATTAATTTTTAATAATAAAAAAAATATTTTGCCAAAAAAATTTATTTTGACTTAATCACGGTAAAATTAAGAAGGTAAAGTCATTTCAAATAACCATTCACATCTCTGCATTTCTTGTAATTTACCTTGCCATATTTCACTCTATAAAAAGGGTTGCCATCTCTGATTTCTGTGCGCACAATGGATTTATAAATAGAAATTTTGACAATGAGATGCTGTCAAACGAATTATTTTGACAAAAAATGCGAACATATAATTACATGACTTTACATTCTTAATTCTACCATGGCCTTAAGGTGAGAATGGCTTAAATCATCAGCTGGCTTATTCGTAGAAAAACAAAGAGCGTGGGGTCAAAATCGAACTAAGTCAACCCAAAACTCCTTTGTTCTCTACGAAGAAGTCAGCCGACGACTTAAACCAGTCAAAAATCGAGCTTTTTATGTATTCTCACATTTAGCGTGACACCTTTCACAAAATCTTCATAGAATAGATTTATAAATAAACATTTTAACAATTAGATGTTGTCGAATGTGAAATTTTGCATATGTTTTGCAAACATATGAGTGAGTGCATGACTTAAAAGGACGTTTATATTTAACGAAATCACTCACGGTACCCCCCGATATTCGGTATTTTGATGATTTTAGCCACACTTTTCAACGGAATTGTCTGAAAATTTACACAAGGAGTTCCTTGTGAGTACTTTATCCCCTGGAAGAGAATTATTTATATATGTCTACGATATTATTATATATGTCTATATATTATTTATATGTCTACGTGTAACCCCATAAACGGTACCCCCCGATATTCAGTATTTTGATGATTTCAGCCAAATTTTCAATGGAATTGTCTTAAAATCCACAAAAGGAGTTCCATAAGAGTACTTCATCTCCCTAGAATAGAATTATCTAAATAGTTCCACGTTTTAGATAGCGCCCATATTCCGTATTTTCATGATTTTTGCGACATAATTCACCGGAATTGATTCAAATTTCGTATATAAAGTTCGGAACCATTACTACAGCCTATGACACAACTTACTTAAGCAGGATCACATCTTCGTATAGCCCCCATATAACGGTTTTCATTTGAGTGGTTTTATCCGACGGAATTTTCTTGAAATTTTTTAAGTTTCTACCAAATGGTGGAATTATAAAAAGTTCGGCCCAGCCGAAATTAGCTGCTTTTTTACTTGTTACATCTTTTTTTTTAAATTTTATTGCAAACCATGTCGGAAATAGCGGCAAATTTTAGAATAAATTTAGATTTGTTCGAATTGGTCAACTTTGGCACGAATTATGGCCTTCAAACGGCCAATGAAACCGTCACACGCTGCCCGAATGTTGCTCTGCGGTATTTTGGTCCATCCCCGGTGAAGCACTTGCTTGAGGTGGTCGACACTTTGTTATTTTTTAGTGCCAACCTTGCTTTTCAAAATACCCCACATACAATAGTCCAACGGATTGGTATCCGGAGATTTGGGTGGTCATGCGCTGTGCGCTGGAAATGAAGCGAGGTACCTCATTTTGTAACCATTCTTGGGTGTCACGTGCTGAGTCCTGTGGTAATGTCCAAGGTCTACGGCCAAAATGTTTGCGTGCCCAAGGCTTTAATACACCCTCCAGAATATTTTCGCGTTAATATTCGGCATTTATCCTGATCTGATCTGACGGTCGATTAATACGAGCGGAGAGAGACCATCGGCTGTTATGGCGGCCCACACCATCACCATGGCCGGCGCTTGAGTTCTGGTGGCCAACCGAAGGTGCACATTTTCAGCTGACCTCGTTGGCAAGTAAACACGATAATATTGTTTGTTTACAAACTGCTGGACAACGAATGTTTTCTCATCGAAAAGGAGACAACCAAATTCGGCAGTTCACCACTTTTTGATTCTATTTTCTGTTGTTTCCGTTGCGGTGCAAGTTCTTGCAATTTTTGGAATTTCAATGGCTTTACCCCGAGCTCATTTTTCAATATTTGCCGAATGGAATATTGCGATATGTTCAGTTCACGAGCCTTTTTTCGTCCACTGCGAATCGAGTTTCTTTACTTTTCGAATATTTTCTGCTGATGTTGCTGTTTTCTTCCGTCAACTTCCTTGACGTCGGGTAACAAGCGATGGTACGAGACACAAAAGATTTATTCACATTTAAATGCTGAAGTGCTCTAACGATAGCCACTTGTGTTTTTCCAGCCAAATATAAAGAAATCACACTATCACGACGCTTGAATTCCATCACGAAAAACTTTTTTTGTGGAAAATTCTCACCAAAATGATTTTGTACGCTTGTAAACAATATAATGAGCTGTCACTGGAATAATTTTAACAGCTGTCAGACGAGTGGATTAGAAATGACAGCAGGTTGAAGTTGGTTGCAGTTTTTTCATCTCACCTTGTATACTATATATAGGGTCTATCATAAATATTTCGAGGAGTTACAAACGGAATGAAAAAGCCAATATAACCTCCATAAAATGTTGGAGGATATAAAAATGAGTTAGAGAATTCCACTACAGTTTCAGTATGGACAGGTTCTTGGCCATGTTTTAGAATAGAAAAATTAGTATTTCCTACGCAGCTACTCACAATTCCCCAATCGCTTTCCTTTGCTATTTTTCTGTACCAAAATGTGACGCTTCGTTTTATGTCACTGGCAATATAATAAATGTGCGTGAGAATTTCTTAATTATTTGTGTTTGTGGAGCAAAACACACTCTATCTTCCTCTGGCGTTCCCTACACTGTCTGTGTTACCAACATTTGTATTGGTATGGGATGTTTGTTATTAATTTGGGGATCTCTTTTGGGGCCAATATTTACTAGAGTGGTCATTTTAACTCTCTCCTTCTCTTCTCTCCCCACACACACTTTCCGTGTTAGTGTGCATTCATGTGGATCCCTGATACCGGTACAAGTGTGCATGGGGAAGAATGTGTTGTTTACTCTCCCAATACATTGATGGGTGACAACAGAAAAAGCAAAACAAAAACATCATCCCGTGTCGCAAAATTCAGTTGGAATTCTGTGCAAGTTGTGTCAAGTTTAAAACGGTTGAAATGAATTAGATGGAGGTAGAACAAATGGAAGCCAATTAAGAAAAAAATATTTAAAGCGGCAGATATTCATTCATACGTAAAAAAACGCATTTGACATCACAATGTGAGTGTTTCAAAATTTGAAGAAGAAAAAAATGATATCAATTAAAAGATCTCATAATTCAAAATACTAGCATGTCAGCGGCAAGTGACATCATGACCGTTATCGATCCCGAGTCCAATATCGTCTTAGAAACTACTAAATCATCCAATTCTCCCAAGGGTAAAAAAACATTATGGCAAGCTTTTAATGAAACATTTTTGGAGTATTCCGGTAATACGGCCCTGCATGGTGTACCATACTTCAGTCAGCAACGTCCTCTGAGGGAGAATATTTTTTGGTTTTGCGTCCTATTGCTGTCGATATTCTATTGTGCCACATCCGTGCTGCAAACCTTTGGCAAATGGAAAGAGAGGCCTGTCATTGTGAGTTTTAGCGAAACCGCTGTAGACATATCGAATATACCCTTTCCAGCTGTAACGATATGTTCGGAAACCAAGCGGCCATTGCTCAAAGGTAAATATAAGTTATGTTTCTTGACTTTTTTTAAATGGTAAAAGTAGGGAATTAACAACACTGGGCTTTCTCTCTCTCCCTTTGCTCTACCTCTGCTCACTCGAGTAAAATGTTGCAAAACTTGAAGCCACTGGCATTTCATATAACGGAGGCATAAATAAAAATAATTCCCTCTCCCTATTTTTATACCCTCCACCATAGTACATAGTATGGAGGGTATATTAAGTTCGTCATTCCGTTTATAACTCATCGAAAAAATAATTTTAGACATAAAAAGTATATTCTTCATCAGCGTAAAATTCTATGACAATTTGGCTTTGTCCGTCCGTCTGTGAAAATCACTCTAGCTTCCGGACGAAATGAAGTAGGTTAATAAAATTTTACTCAAATGTATATTATGTCTGAAGGACTTTTGATATTGAAAATGGGCCATGTAGGTCCACGTTTTGGTATAGCTCCCATATAATGGTACCTCCCTATTTTCGATATTTTGGTGATTTAAGCGACATTATCCACCGGAAATGACTCAAATTTGGTATTTGAAGTTCGTAATGGATATTACAGCCTATGACAGAAAATTGTCTATGTAGGTCCAAGCCTTCGTATAGGCCCATATATCAGTACCTCCCTATATTCGGTATTTTGGTGATTTTAGCGACATTATTTACCGGAATTGTTTGAAATTTTATATTTGAAGTTCGCTATGGATACTACAGCCCATGACAGAAAATTACCTATGCAGATCCAGGTCTTCGTATAGGCCTCATATATCAATACCTCCCTATATTCGGTATTTTGACGATTTTAGCGACATTATTCGCCAGAACTGTGTCAAATTTGGTATTTGAAGTTCGTAATGGATACTACAGCTTAAGGCAGAAAATTGTGTGTGCAGGTCCACGTCTTCGTATAGGCCCCACATATCGGTACCTCCCTGTATTCGGTATTTTGACGATTTTAGGTGCAATATTCACCGAAACTGTTTGAAATTTCGTATTTGAAGTTCCAAATAGGTACTACAGCCTGTGACAGAAAATAGTGTATGCAGGTCCAGGTCTTCGCATAGGCCGCATTTATCAGTACCCCCCTATATTCGGTATTTTGATAATCCTAGCTACATTATTCACCGGATTTTTGTCAAGTTTTGTATTTGAATCTTGAAATGGCTTATGAAAAAAGTTGCCTATGCGGGCCCACGTCTTCGTATAGACCCCAATATAACGGCTATATTCGGAATTTTTAAGATTTTAACAGAATTTTTCATGGATTTTATTTTTTAAATTCCAAATTCGTTCCAAATGGTGGAGGGTATTCAAAGTTCGGCCCGGCTGAACTTAAGCTGAGAAAACATAAAACGTTTTTTTTTGACTGGCCTAAGGGTGGAAATACATAAAGCGCTTATCTGGCTGGCTTAAGTCATCGGCTGGCTTCTTCGTAGATGAACAAAGGAGTTTTAGGTTGACTTAGTTCGATTTTGGCCCTAGTTTCCTTTGTTCATTTCCGAAGAAGCCAGCCGATGACCAGATAAGCGCTTTATGTATTCCCACCATAAGTCGCCGGCTGGCTTCTTCGTAGAGGAACAAAGGAGTTTTAGGTTGACTTAGTTCGATTTTGGCCCATAATTTATACTTGTTTGCCCTACGCTCCTTTGTTCCATTCCGAAGAAGCCAGCCGATGACTTAAACCAGTCAAAAAAGCGTTTTATGTACTCTCCCCTTTACTGTCTTTTAACTTCTTTATCCTCTTCCTTTTCAGGACCCTCTTTCGGTGAGCTATATACGAAACTAAGGGATATGGGGGCATTTTCGGAAAACTCAAACATAACCTCAACGGAATTAAAGGATTTCTTAGCCCTGGCACAGGTGTGTGAATTGGAATATCTGAACTCCAACGGCGATGATGGTAGTGTCGACATCGATGTAACTGACATGGGAAAGTTGCAAATTGATTACATTGCCAGGCTTAGTAAAATGGCGCCCAAATTAAGTACAATTAACGGAGGTCATTTTTGGGGATCAAATGAATTGAATATCTCACAACTTTATGCAAAAACCTTTACCGAAGAAGGTGTATGCTATACATTCAATGGACTGAATGGCACCGATATTTATCGTGAAAATACTGTCCAATATCAGGTCATGGGTCTACAGAGTTTCATTGAAGTGAGTGAAGAAATAAATCGTACCCTTTCCTGGTCTTTGGAAAAAGGCTATGCCATCGATAGTCCACTCAATACTTACCCGGCCAGAGTGACAAGTTGTGGCAATAGTGTGGGACTGACAGCTGTGCTGTTGGATCTAAAGGAGAATAACGATTACACCTGTCGCGGCCCAACCCAGGGATATAAATTGATACTACACTCTCCGAATACCGTGCCATCGGTTGCCAAACGTTACGTACGCATAGACATGGCCAAAGAAGTGTCCATAGCTGTTAAACCCAAATACATGCAAACTTCCGGTGATATTGCGGTCTTTGCTCCGGAAAAACGTCAATGCTATTTCGAACACGAGAGACCTTTGAGATTCTTTAAAACCTATAATTCGGATAATTGTGAATTGGAATGCCTGACCAATTACACGTTAAACAAATGTAATTGTGTGCGCTTCTCAATGCCCCGTACAACTGATATGCCTGTGTGTAATTTGGATGCAATGGATTGTTATACTTCGGCGGAAGAGGACATGTTATTAAAGAAATTCAATGGCCATCGTGGAAATGGTGATGGTGATGATGTTGTGGATCAATGTAATTGTTTGCCTTCGTGTACTTCGCTTGACTATGACATGCAAATCTCCAAAGGTCGTTTAGATGTAAAGACCACATTTATGAACATGCTCAAATTGGATAAGTGGTCGGATGATTTGCCCGATATTGAATTATCCTTGTTGACGATATATTTTAAAAACAATCAATTTATAGCTACAAAACGTTCGAAACTTTTCAGTTTTTATGACTTGCTCTCAAATTGTGGTGGCATTGGCGGACTTTTTATTGGATTCTCATTGTTGAGCATTGCTGAAGTGCTGTTTCATTTCACCATGCGGCTGTGGGCCAATTGGAAAACGAAGAAAGAATGAATGGTTACTTTTTTTAATTTTAGAAATGTTATAAATAAATAGTATTTTTTTTTTGTTTTTTTTTTTTGAAAAGTTTTTTTTATTTATGATTTATTAAAAGTCTATCCAGGAAATTTAAAAAATATCTCAAAAAACAGTAAACGCTAAAGGAATAGAAAAACGCCCATATGGCATCACTGTTTAGAACTTCCGCTGCATGAACAACATTGACATTTGTTTATGTCAGCAATTGAAGATTAATGCTAGGAACACAATTGGAGCGAACGACGAATTTCGCCCTACGCGGCGACAAAATGAGCCGCGTAAATTCGTCGTATGGAACACAATACCGACGAAATTATAAAACAGCTGATGAAGTTGTTTACTTTTTGCTCATTTGTTGACTACAATGAATCAGAGAATTGTAAAGTTTATTAAAATTATCAAAATAATTAACATAATGTATATTATAGTAAAAGCTTATCTGCTTCTTCACTCAGGCGCAAGTACACAAATAAATAAACAAATTAATTATGTTTTTTTATACGAGTAACAGATAGTAGAGTGACCATAACAAATTTTAAAGTAAAAAGTAACTTTATTTACTAAAACACATAAAATTCGTACAAGTATGGCCACCTTGTACTGTTTTGTTCGCCGGTCGCCGGCGTATGAAATAGAAATAAAGCTAATTGAGTTCGCGGCGACCGACGAAATTTTCGCCGGTGCCGTGATTGTGTGCACTTCCATATACACATATGTATTTTATTTTTGACGACGAACATACGCCGCGAAAAAATTCGTCGTTCGCTCCAATTGTGTTCCTAGCATAATTTGAAAGAGAACGACATTTCAATTGATCAGTAACGGTATTTTGTTAACATTGTAGGTTGACTTAGTTCGATTCTGGCCATAGGCTCTTTTGTTCATTTCCAAGGAAGCCAGCCTATGACTTAAGCCAGACAGATAAGCGCTTTATGTATTACCACCTTTAGAACCAATTTAAGCCGTAGTGGTACAGGATGAGATAAGAAAATTGCAACAAAGTCAAATGCCATAATTTTTAGATTTTTTTTTTTAATTTTATTGAATGAAAGCAAAAAATGTCGGAAAAGGCATCAAATTTTAGAATAAGGCTGGAAATACATAAAGCGCATATTTGGCTGGCTTAAGTCATCGGCTGGCTTCTTCGTAGATGAACAAAGGAGTTTTAGGTTGACTTAGTTCGATTTTGGGCCTAGGCTCCTTTGTTCATTTCCGAAGAAGCCAGCCGATGACTTAAGCCAGCCAAATATGCTCTTTATGTATTTCCAGCCTTAAGCCAGCCAAATATGCGCTTTAAGTATTTCCAGCCTAATTTTAGATTTGTTCGAATTGGTCACCTTTGGCACGAATTATGGTCTTCAAACGGCCAATGAAACCGTTACACGCTGCCCGAATGTTGCTCTGCGCGGTATTTTGGCCCATTCCCGGCGAAGCGCTTGCTTGAGGGGATCGACACTTGGGTATTTTTTAGTGCCAACCTTGCTTTCCAAAATACTCCAGACACAATAGTCCAACGGATTGGTATCCGGAGATTTGGGTGACCATTGTGCGCTGGAAATGAAGTGAGGAACCTCATGTTGTAACCATTCTTGGGTGGCGCGTGCTGAGTGCGATGGTGCTGGTGCAAGGTCCGCGGCCAAGGCTTTAATTAATACATCCTCCAGGATATTTACGCGATAATATTCGGTATTTATTCTAATGCCACGGTTGATTAATACGAGCGGAGAGCGACCATTGGCTGTTATGGCGGCCCACACCATCACCATGGCCAGCGCTTGAGTCCTGGTGGCCAACCGAAGGTGCACAATTTCAGCTGACCTCTTTGGCAAGTAAACACGATCATTTTGTTTGTTTACAAACTGCTGGACGACGAATGTTTTCTCATCGGAGGAAACCAAATTCGGCAGTTCACCACTTTCGGCCAAGCGAGGCAACTCTTTAGCTTTTTTCAGTCTATTTTCTGTTCTTTCTGTTGCGGTGTAAGTTCTTGCACTTTTTGGAATTTCAATGGTTTTACCCCGAGCTCATTTTTCAATATTTGCCGAATGGAATATTTGCCGATATGTTCAGTTCACGAGCCATTTTTCGGCCACTGCGATGCGGGTTTCGATCAAGTCGCTTTTTATTTTTCGAACCATTTCTGCTGTTGTTGCTTTTTTCTTCCGTCCACTTCCTTGACGTCGGGCTAGGGTAACCTATTGTTCATTTATGATATCTCAAATATGTGCTAAAAATTCGATCAAGCATTTAATATGGCATATATATCTACGTATCTTGATTGAATATAGATTTGGGGTAATAATTTAAAAATCTCAAACACAAAAAAGACATAAAAATTCATGTGTAGTCATATGGAGGCATTTCTTGTTATTGTTTCAATTTTGGCAAATATAAACGTTCCTTTTTTGCAAACTTTGTTGTTGTTTTTTTTGGGGCCGGTAAAAAACATGTTTAAAGAAGTAGCATTTCATGGTCGCAAACATCAAACACACACTAGAAGAGAAGTCTGCAGAATCACGACTCACCAACACACATGCATATCCGTGTGCATGTGTGTGTTTATTCTCTATTTTGTGATGTCATTTTGTCTTGCATACTGCGGACCAAGTAAATAGCAACATCATGGAATTAGTACAAATATTACACTGGAATTATGGTAGAATTGAAAAGGTAAAGCCATGCAATCATATGTTTACAATTTTTTCAAAACTATTCATTTGACAAAATCTCATTGTCAAAATGTATATGTATGAATTCATTGTACACACACAAATCAGAGATGGGAACCTGTTTTCCAATATCAAAATTTCCATAAGTAGAAGTTGCACATATAATGTGATACATGTCAAAAACCGAAAATGGTAAAGACTAGACAAAATGCATTTTGAGCAAATGGTTTGTGTCTACAATACATAAGTAACAGCTCATGACAAAGGCATGATAATATAAAAACCACAATTACAGAAACAAATGTCAAATAAAAGCTTAAAAATCCAAAAATGTGATATCAAAGTTCTATTCCTTTTCAAAAAATTGCATATAGACCTAGCCGGTTATATCAGTTAACATTTGTAACTATGTTGTTATGATATCATAACAACAGAGGTATTTTCACAGGGTTGCCATATTATGACTCTGTCTTGTCCGACCTTTGTACATGTCTGTCATTTCAGTTATGAAATACAAGAGTAAAGTCCATATGTACTTTTTCGACAACAGCGTGCCCTATTTTCATCTGAAAATATATATGGTCTGTTCCAGAACCTGCAAGAATTTATTATTTTTGCAATTTTTTTTTCATTCGATATCGGTTATCATATTAAAAATTTCCGCATTTTATTCAGGCCTCACTGCTTACATAGGGTTGAGCGCATGACTTCTTAAGGCTCTATCAGACGGAATGTTTTCATGTGTATTGTCAGGTTGGCAGATATCTATCATATTCACAACAGATTGGATGTGTGAAATTTGAAGAGGTTGGTTGCTTGTTTCGCATTCTTTGAGCGTTTTGTTTTTCAACAATTTTGAACCCCTTGTGGCGGAGGTACCAGAAGGAGTTCGCAATATATCCCATTTTCACAGCAGATATTGTTTTAGTAGAAATAATGGTATGTGTGAAATATGTGAGAGAACCGGATGCTTTTTTCCGATTTTTTAATCGTTTTGGTTATTCAAAGGTTGACCGTTTGTGGAGGAGGTACCAGAAGGAATGGTCCGATCTCTACCATCTTTATAACACATCTTGTGTTGATGGTAATATTGAGGTGTGCCTAGTCTTAATGGAATCGAATGTTAATTTCGCGTCTTATGAGCTTCATGTATATTCACAGTTTTGAAGTGAAGTGGACCGATATATTCCATCTTCATACCAGACCTTGGGTTAAAAAAAATATTGTGATGTGTGTAATTTGAAAATAATCGGACTCTCACATCACATTTCATAAGATTTATAATTATTCAAAATGTTGACCTTTTGTGGGGGAGGTACTTGATGTAGTGGACCGATACTGTCTATTTTCGCACCTGAATTAGCACCAAAAAATATATATGGGGATTTGCAAATTTGGAGCAAAATCGGTTTTTGGCCGTATTAAATGAAATATACTCTCTGTAGTCATATGACTGACGGTATACAAAATATTCTCCATTATCATTCGTTCAGCCCAATCATAAATATGCTGTCGGAATTTTATTCCCATGGAAAGCATTTTCCTCGAATAATAATGCCTCCAATCATAAATAATGGAAGAGAAATAATTTGAGAAGATGGCAACGCGACTTGTCATTTTCGTACCTAGTGTAACCTAGTTGCATAAATTGCAAATACCTAAAATGGTAACATAAAAAACACAATTAAAGAAAGGAATGGCAAATAAAAGTTTGAAAAATTCAAAAATGTGGTTTCAAAATTCAATTCCATAGACCTTTCCAAAAATTGGCAACCATGGTATAATTAAGTAGGTAAAGTCATGCAGTCATATGTTTACAATTTTTTTTTAATTATTCATTTGACAACATCTCATTGTCAAAATATTTATAAATCCAATGTATACACACAAATTAGAGATGGGAACCTGTTTTTTATAAAGTGAAATTTGACAAGGTAAATTACAGAAAGTGCGGAGATGAGCATGATTATTTTGAATTGACTTTTCCTTCTTAATTTTACCTTGGGTTATAATATTACTCAGTTTTTAATGAATGCTATAATTTTACACACTTCTGTATATATTTTCTTAATGAATTTCTGTCAACAAGGGATTCCTCTCCCAAACCATTTTTTTTTCATTTGTGTTAGAACGTACATATGTGTGTTTGTGAGAACTGCTTCATGACGTTCAAATGGTTTTTATTTTATTTTTTATTGGAAAACGAAACAGCAGTGCCATTATAACAAGAGTGCAGATTCTATGCGTCAGTATAGCATTTGTCGCACACACAGTATTTGCCGATTTTGAGGGGCGGCTATTTTGGAACGGTTAATGAAAATTGAATTAAATTTGTTTGGTATTAAAAAATTAAAGATTGTTAAACAATATCTAACGGAATTAAAGTCCGAATGGAGACGTGCCCAGCATATTAAAGTGTGGTGAAGAAAATTGTTTGAATTCCGTTTAGTTCCAATGAGTGAAATGCAAATGTTACGCTTCAATAGAGATAATTTCAATGTGAGAGTGTTCAATACTTTGTATTTTACTACATCTTTTTTTTTTTTTCAAAACAAAAAAACGAAACGAAAATGAAAACAAAAAGCAACATTAAATAAGATCAGATCAGGTTTTTTATACCTGCAAAAATGGTGGAGATACCGGACCGAACTTTGAATACCCTCCACCATTTGAAACGAATTTGACAATTTTCAAAAAACTAAAATCCGCTAAAAATTCTGTTAAAATCTTAAAAGTTCCGAATGTAGCCGTTACGCAACTTTTGTCACAAGCCGTTACAACATTCAAATACGAAACTTGAAAAAAAACTGTGAATAATGTCGTTAAAATAATCAAAATATCGAATATCGGGAGGTATCGTTATATGAAGGCTATACGAAGACGTGGACCTGCACATACCATTTTCTGTCATAGGCAGTAGTATCCATTACGAACTTCAAATACCAAATTTGAAACAATTCCGGTAAATAATGTCGCTAAAATCATCAAAATACCGAATATTGGGAGATACCGATATAGGGAGCCTATACGAAGACCTGGACCTGCATAGACAATTTTCTGTCATAGGCTGTAGTATCCACTACGAACTTCAAACACCAAATTTGAAACAATTCCGGTGAATAATGTCGCTAAAATCATCCAAATACCGATTACCGGGAGGTGTCGTTATATGGGGGCTATACGAAGACGTGGACCTGCACAGACAATTTTCTGTCATAGGCTTTAGTATCCATTACGAACTTCAAATACCAAATTTGAAGCAATTCCGGTGAATAGCGTCACTAAAATCATCAAAATACCGAATATCGGAAAGTACCGTTATATGAAGGCTATACGAAGACGTGAACCTGCACAGACAATTTTCAGTCATAGGCTGTACTTCCCATTACGAACTTCAAATATCAAATTTGAAACAATTCCGGTGAATAATTTCGCGTAAATCACCAAAATGCCGAAAATAGCGAGGTACCATTATATGGAGGCTATTCCACAACATGGATCCACATGACCCATTCTCAATACCAAAAGTCCTGCAGATATAATATATATTTGAGTAAAATTTTATCAACCTACTTCATTTCGTTCGGAAGCTAGAGTGATCGACATAGAATTTTATGCTGATCAAGAATACATATATATACTTCGTGAGATCAAAAATGTATATTTCGAGGAGTTACAAACGGAATGACAAACTTAATATACCCTCCATACTATGGTGGAGGGTATAAAAAAGACCGGAAATCATGATACAATGATACAGATGGACGCATCAACACAGCTGCTGGTACAGTGAGCTGTCAAAACATTTTTTGAATTCTACATTTTGAATGAAAAATATTTTAAATTAGTGAAATTTTTTGAAAATCCAACCTCTGAGCGCCATCGTAAAAAAAGTAAAATTTATTTCTTTTTGGAGATATTATTAATAATTTTGACTTATCAATTTTCGCGAGTGTTGATGCATCTCCCTGTATTCTTCTACCATGCCTGCAATATAGAGTTGAGTGTGGTACCTACTATCGATTGTAACTCTTGTTTCTTGTATTTTCTTTCTAGTGATCCCAACAAAACTCTCAGCAAATTCTTCATAGCCTCACATTTTCAGAAGAAAATAGACTAGACAAAAAAACTAAAAAAAATGACAACAACCCTCAAAGATCATTGCGAAAGTATACCCCTAAAAGGCATCGACCCTGAATCAACGACAGCAGCACCACCACAATTATTACCTAAACGTGCCTACAACATAATACCGCCGGCTGTGCCTAGACGAAAACACCAAACCAAACCGCCCCGCACAACATGCGTGCAATTTTCCAAACAACGTTTTTTCGACTACTGTTCCAACACTTCGATACATGGCATCCAATATTTGGGTGAACGACGACCAACAATGGATCGTTTTATATGGTTTGCTTTGATATTGATATCGTGTTTCTTTTGCTTCGATTCCATAACCGAGATCTATGAAAAATGGAATGATAGTCCGGTAATTGTTAGCTTTTCGGAGAAATCCACAGATATTTGGAGTATACCGTTTCCAGCCATCACCCTATGTGCGGAAAGTAAACGTATGCATAGAGAAGGTAAGTTAAGTTTTCTATACTTTTGTATATGCATCAACGCTTGGGAGAATTGATATGTCAAAAAAATTTAAATGATTTTTCAAATATAAGTAGATTTTTAGATGTTTTCATATACTACGTCATTCGGAGGCTATTATAATTCACGTTTTTCAACAATTTTTACAAATTTAAATAATTTTTCATTCAACATTTTGAATTCCAAAATTGGTTTGACAGTTCATTGTCCCATCAGCTGTGTCGACGCGTCTACCCATATTTTTCTACCATGATATATGGTAAAAACATAAAAAGTATAGGGTTGGCAACACTGTTCTCCTTGACGTTTTGTGTTAAATCATGACCATGGTAGAATTAAGAAGGTAAAGTCAAGCAATCATATGTTTACAATTTTTTATACCCTCCATAGGGTATAAAAATGGAGGATATATTAAGTTTGATATTCCGTTTGTAACACCTCGAAATATACATTTTAGACCCCAAAAAACATATATGTTTATGATCAGCATACAATTCTATGTCGATTGAGCGATGCCCGTCCGTATGTCCGTTTGTGGAAATCAATCTAGCGTCCGAAGGAATTGAAGTAAGTTGATAAAATTTTACTCAAATGTGCATTTCGTCTGCAGGACTTTTGGTATTGGAAATGGGCTACATGGGTTCACGTTTAGGTATAACCCCCATATAAGTGTACCTCCCTATGTTAATTATTTGACGATTTTAGCGGCATTATTCACCGGAAGTGTTTCAAATTCGGAATTTGAAGTTCGTAATGGATAATACAGCCTATGACAGAAAATTGCCTATGTAGGTCCAGGTCTTCGTATAGCCTCCCTTTATCGGTACCTCCCTATATTCGGTATTTTGCTGATTTTAGCGACATTATTCAACGGAATCGTTCCAAATTTGGTATTTGAATTTCGTAATGTATACTACAGCCTCAGACAGAAAATTGTCTGTGCAGGTTCCCGTTTTCGTAGAGGTACCTCCCGATATTCGGTACTTTAATGATTTTAGCGAAATTATTCACCGGAATAGTTTTAAATTTGGTATTTAGAGTTCGTAATGGGAACTACAGCATACGAGAGAAAATTGTCTGTGCAGGTCCACGTCTTCATATAGCCCCCATATAACGGTATCTCCTTATATTCGGTATTTTGCTAATTTTAGCGACATTATTTATCGAAATTGTTTCAAATTTCGTATTTAGAGTTCTTTATGGGAACTACAGCCTGTGAGAAAAACTTGCCTATGTAGGCCCTCGTCTTCGTATAGCCACTATGTAACGGTACCTCGGGATATTCGGTATTTTGGCGATTTTAAGTGCAATATTTTACCGAAATTTTTTAAAATTTGGCATTTGAAGTTCGTAATGGATACTACATCCTAAGACAGAAAATTGTCGGTGCAGGTCCAGGTCTTTGCCCTATAACGGTAACTCCCAATATTCGGTATGTTGATGATTTTAACATTTTCCGGTGAATTTGTTTTAAAATTGGTATTTGAAGTTCGTAATGGCCCATGACAGAAACTAGAATCAAAAGGCTTATTGGCAACACTGTTCCTTCACTTTTCTAGTGAAATTTTCTTCTTACACGTAAAGGCTTTATCAGACGGAATGTGTTTTTGTTTCTACATATGTCCCGTCAATTTTTGCATCCATGTGTATTTTCTTGTGCATGTCAAAATAAGCACATTACATGTGATTCATAATTTGAGCTATCACACACTTGCATATGTTTTTTTTTTTTTGGATAACATTGTATTTTCCAAAAAACAAATCATTTTTTATGAATTTTTGCAGCAAATTTAATTTTATGCAACAAACAAACAATGAATTTTGATCAAAAAAGTACATATAAACTTTACTCGTGTATTTATGTAAAAGTCACACGATATGTGTAACTTTTACATAAGGACAATTTGACATTTGAATTGTAAAAACATTTCGTCGCATAGAGTCTTAAAAAGTCACGCATTACGATATATGTAAGCAGTGATGCCAAATTAACACAAAAAACACAATTACAGCGTAGAACGTTTGGCGGCAAAAGTTGTGTTTTTTACAAATAGACCTACGACAAGAGATTATTGCCACTTTCGATATATCTACGCAATGACATTATTTTTAAACAAACCAAATTATTTTGTAAATTTATCTATTCATCTCCCCGCAGGTATGTCATATGCCGAACGCCTCAACGATTTCATCAACGAACGCAATTCATTTCCCGAAAATTTAACAGAAGAAATTGTGGAATTTTTAACCATGTTACAGGTGTGCCTCAACGATCCCTCGGATTTTGAGAGTAAGCCACCTCTTGACTATCCACCCATTGATTATGTTCAAGTTCTGGAGTATATGTTACCATTATTTGGAAATAATTTCATGCAATGTAAATGTTTGGGCAATGTCAGCAATGAGTGTCTGCAATATTTTCGTAAAACCTATACGGAAGAGGGTCTTTGTTTTACGTTTAATGGTCTCAATGCTAGCGATTTATATCGTGAGGATACGGTGCAATATCGAGAAATGAAATTGGACAACACTCACGAGTCGAGTGAATTTTTGAAGAGGAAATTAACATGGTCCCTGGAGGAGGGCTATGAGGCTGACACAAATCCACAGAATTCATATCCGGCTAGAATTTTAAGCAGCGGAATTAAGTCGGGCTTTTCAGCCATTATAATGGATGAAAAGAAAAATGTCGACTATGGTTGTCGTCAGGCCCAGCAGGGTTATAAATTGCTTATACACCCGCCCGATGATGTGCCACAGGTGTCAAAGCATTACCTACACATACCCATGAGCGAGGAGACCACAATTGCTGTCATACCAAATATGATGACAACATCGGAGGGCATTGAAAAATATTCGACGGACAAACGTCAATGTTATATGGCCAGAGAACGTCAGTTGCGTTTCTTTCAGGTCTACACGGAGAACAACTGCGAATTGGAGTGTTTGACCAACTTCACGTTGAGTCAATGTGGCTGTGTGAAGTTCTCAATGCCTAGAACGGCGGACATGCCTGTCTGCCGAGAACATCAAATCCATTGCTATGAAACGATTGAGGATGAGCTAATGTTAAGGCAATTCTCCGACAATGTAGACAATTGCCATTGTCTGCCGGCATGCACTTCTTTGGACTATAATGTGGAAATATCTCAAAGTCATTTTGACGTTGAACGCACTCTTAAAGCCATGGGTGTTGACGAGGAGGAGGAAGAGGACGAAATGAATTATGCCAGTTTCGAATATGCCGCGTTTAGCATTTATTTTAAAGATAATGAATTAATCACCGCAAAACGTTCGGAGTTGTATGGTCTCTATGATTTCATTGCAAATTGTGGTGGTGTCCTGGGTCTCTTTATGGGTGTTTCAATATTGAGTGTAATTGAGATTTTCTATCACCTCACCTTGCGGCTGTGGGCAAATTTCAGGAGGAGAAATTAATGGGAAAGTTTGAATTTGTTTTAAAAGTGTTTTTGGAAAATTTATAAAATAAAATTCAATCCTCAAATGGAACATTAAAGTTTTTTTTTTTGTAAATTATCTGGTTTTATCTCGTAATTTATTATTTTTGTATAATTTGCCACTTGTCACACGTTAATATTTTACATATGAATATGACTTTTATTTAAAAAAACGATATGGTCGAGTTCGTTGGAATGGGGTTGCCATATTTGACACTTACTAGTCGAGAGCACAACCATAACAGCTGACGTGAGCAATCAGAATGTTACAGACGTCTCAATTCGTATTGAGCACGAATTTGTGAAAACGTACATACAATGGGTGCGATAATAAACTTCAACAAAGTCAAACGCCATAATTTTTACATTTTTTGTTTAAATTTTGTTGAATAAAACAAAGAAATGTCGGAAATAGCATTAAATTTTAGAATAAGTTTAGATCTGTTCGATCGTGCCACCTTTGGCACGAATTATGGCCTTCAAACGGCCAATGAAACCGTCACACGTTACCCGAATGTTGCTCTGCGGTATTTTGGCCCATTCCCGGCGAACGGCTTGTTTGAGGTGATCGCCATTTTGGTATTTTTTTAGTGTCAACCTTGCTTTCCAAAATACTCCAGACACCATAGTCCAACGGGTTGGTATCCGGAGATTTTTTTTGGCGGCCATGGTGCGCTGGAAATGAAGCAAGGAAACTCATTTTGTAACCTTTCTTGGGTGGCACGTGCTGTGTGCGATGGTGCTGAGTCCTGTTGGAATGTCCAAGGTCTGAGGCCTACACCCTCCAGAATTTTTTCGCGATAATATTCCGCATTTATTCTGATGCCACGGTCGATTAATACGAGCGGAGGGAGAGCGACCATCGGCTGTTATGGCGCCCCATACCATCACCATGGCCCCCGCTTTAGTTCTGGTGGCCAACCGAAGGTGCACATTTTCAGCTGACCTCTCTGGCAAGTAAACACGCTCGCTTTGTTTGTTTAAATACTGCTGGACAACGAATGTTTTCTCATCGGAGAGAAGAAAACCAAATTCGGGAGTTTACTACTTTCGGCCAAGCGAAGCAGCTCTTTAGCTCTTTTGAGTCTATTTTCTTTCTTTTGCGGTGTAAGTTCTTGCACTTTTTGGAATTTCAATGGCTATACCACGGGCTCATTTTTTAATATTTGCCGAAGGGAATATTGCGGTATGTTCAGCTCACGAGCCATTTTTTCGGGCACTGCGACGCGGGTTTCGATCAAGTCGCTTCTTTACCATTTTCGAACCATTTCCGCTGATGTTGCTGTTTTCTTCCGTCCACTTTCTTGACGTCGGGCTACGCTACCAGTATCACGATAACGAGCGACGAGTACGAGACACAAAAGATTTATTCACATTTAAATGCTGGAGTGCTCTAACGATAGCCTCTTGTAGTTTTCCAGCGAAGTATAAAGAAATCACACTGTCACGCTTAAATTCCATTACGAATAACATTTTTTTCTGGAAAATTCTCAACAAAATACTTTGCTACGCTTGTAAAGAATATAAAGAGCTGTCACTGGAATAATTTTAACCGCTGTCGGACGAATGGCTTAGAAATAACAGCTGTCTGAAGTTGGTTGCAGTTTTTTCATCTCACCCTGCATATTTATTATTACTAAAATTTTAAATATCTCTTACGGCAGATAGATCTGCTCTAGAACCTCCGTAGAATTTACACTGTTTTGTCCAAACTCTCTTCTTTGGGTCTTCAACAAACAAAATATTTAGTTTTTTGACAAATTTTGGCCCTGTGCTAATATTTCGAGCAAACATGTAAGTTTGTTTGTTATCTCACACCACAGATTATGAACACATCTTTTTACGGCATTTGTATTTTGCCAAAATATTTAGTTTTGTTTGTGTGGATGTGGGAGATTTGTTTAAATTCGCGAAAAACAAGTTATTAAGTATTTGGACTTCTCATGAGAATTCAAAAAAAGTCATCAATGTGTGTGTGTCAGAGAGAGAGAGAGAGAGTTGTTGCGACACGCGAAAATAGAATAACATCAACAAAACTCTCCCAAATCAAAACAGTTGTTTGCAATCATCGAAGCTGAGTGTTTAACATGAAACGGCAAGCATAGCGGAATAGATAAATTTTGTTTTTAAATCACTTTTTGATTTTGGTAATATCTTTAAATAATTAAAGTGCATGTGAGTGTTTGTTTTAAAGGTTGGGTAAATTTGATGATGTATTAGCAGTTTGGCATCATGGCATGTCATATTCATGTCAAATTATAAGGAAAAACCTCTGCGGGATTTGAGTGTTACTTTGACATATGTCAACATATATGCCATGCCATGATGCCAAGCTGCTTATATATCCTAACTTTTATCCCCCTTAAACTAAAATTCCTCCCATCCCTCTCATCAGAACAACAAATGGCAAACGACATAAATACTTGGCCAGATCCTCCACAACGGCCGAAAAAGAAGACACTACCGCAAGGCATTAAAGAAACATTTTTCGAATATTGTTCCAATACATCAATACATGGCATCAAATTCTTTGGGGAAAATCGTTCATGGACCGAACGCATTATTTGGATTTGTGTTTTCATTGCATCGCTTTATTGGTGTATCGATGCTCTGAAAGAAATCGCCGATAAATATCGGGAGACCCCTGTTATTGTTAGTTTTTCCGAAAAATCAACAGACATATGGAATATACCATTTCCGGCGGTGACAATATGCTCCGAAATCAAGAGGACACAACGATCGGGTGAGTGGGAGTTTTTTTTTAAACTTTGAGTGTTTTATAGGATTATAGTTTTACATTTTTTGAAGAATATATTTCATGAATATTCAGTGAAACTTTTAAGAATTTTTGTTTTAATAATTTTCAAAAATATTCATTTTTGAGTTATCGACAAAAATCGGTATTCCTGTAATTTTCGAAGTTTTTTTGTCGGAAAGTTAACGATCAAGTATGAAGTAAGTCCTACCGATAAAAACAGTGCTGCCATTTTTTATGTTGACTATCTAATTTCTCTAAATTCAAATTGGCAGCACTGTTGCTTGCGTTAGGGCCATGGTAGAAGAATACAGAACTGAAAGAATGAACTGTCAAACCCATTTTGAAATTGAAAATTGTGAGTGAAAAATTATTCAAAATTTGTAAAAATTTCTGCTGAAATCATATAAAAATCTATTTATTTTTGACAAAACATATCAATGTTCCCAAGCGTTGATGCATCTGCCTATATTCTTCTACCATGGTTAGGGCTTAGCGACTACTTCATTTTATTCGTTAACTTGCCGCATATCATTTACGATAATTACCGAAACTAAAAGCATTTTAATTTTACCGATTTTTCGATAACTCAAAAATCAGTTAGAGAATACCACTGCTATTTTAAAGCGGATATTTAATACATAGTATGTCATTCCGTTTGTAACATATCGAAATATACATTTTAGACCCCACAAAGTATATATTTCCTTGATCGGCATAAAATTCTAGGTCGATTTAGCGACGTCCGTACATCTGTGGAATTCACTCTAGCTTCCGAACGAAATGAAGTAGGTTGATAGTTGAGTTTTACTCAAATGTATATTATGTCTGCAGGACTTTTGGAATTGAAAATGTAGGCCATGTAGGTTCACGTTTTGGTATAGCCCCCATATAACAGTACCTCCCGATATTCTGCGTTTTAAAGTTTTTTGAGCGACATTACGCACCGGAATTGCTTCAAATTTGGTATTTGAAATTTGTAGTGGATATTACGGCCTATGACAGAAAATTGTCTGTGCAGGTCCACGTCTTCGTATAGCCCCTGTATCTCCCTATTTTCGGTATTTTGATGATTTTATCGACAATATTCTCCGGAATGGTTTCAAATTTGGTATTTGAAGTTACTAATAGGTACTACAGCCTCTGACAAAAAATTGTCTATTCAGGTCCAGGTCATGGTATAGCCTCCAATATTACGGCTATATTCTGTATTTTTGATATTTTAACCGATTTTTTAACGGATTTAATTTTTTTGTTTTTGAGGGTATTGAAAGTTCGACTCGGCCAAATATTTGGTGAAAATTTAGTGACATTTTCCAGATTTTTTTAAAAATAAATTTCAAAAATATTCCCTTTTATCGACCAAAATGAAGTAGTCTTACCCATGGTAGAAGAATACAGTTAGTCGCATCGACACAGCTGCTGGGACAATGGACTGTCAAACCAATTTTATAATTAAAATTTTTTAATGAAAAATTATTTAAATTTATAAAAATTGTTTAAAAAACTTGGTATCATAACAACCTCCGATTGGCGTCGTATGGAAAAACATATACAAATCTACATATTTTTGAATAAACATTTAAAAATTTGTGACCAAGTGTCAATGCTGCCAAATTTAATGTAGTTTTTAAATTGCCAACTTTTCTAAATTAAAGTTGGCAGCACTGTTGTTATCGTTAAGGTGAGAACATGGTAGAAGAATATAGGTGACGCATCGAAACAGCAGCTGGGACAATGAACTGTCAAACCAATTTTGGAATTGAAAATGTTGAATGGAAGATTTTTTAAATTTGTGAACAATATTGAAAAACGCGAATTATAACAACCTCCGAATGACGTCGTATAAGAAAACATTTAACAATCTACCCATATTTAAAAAAACATTTACATTTTTTCACATAGGAGTTTTAGGTTAACATAGTTCGATTTTGGCCCCGCGCTCCTTTGTTCATTTCCGAAGAAGCCAGCCGATGACTTAAGCCAGCCAAATAAGCGCTTTATTTTTTCCCACCTTTAGAACATAGCGACTACTTAATTTTGGTCGTTAACTTGACAAACAAAATTCCGATAACTACCGAAATTATGAGCATTTTAATTTTATCGATTTTTCGGTAACTCAAAAATCAGTTAGAATATACAAATGGTATTTTATAGCGGATTTTTAATATTTTTTTTTTCAAAATAATAAGTTCTATAACTGTGGATTCTTCAACATTTCATTTTTTACTCTATCCTATAGGTCCCTCGTACAGTGACCTTTCCGAATGGTATGATGAAAATCCCCATGACTTGGCAAAGAATCTATCATCGACGGATCTTCACGAATTTCTAACAATGTTACAAATCTGTCCACTAACTGCCATAGAGAACGATGTCCGAATACCCCTAGCTGAGCCACTGGATTTTTTCCAAACACTAGATGAAATGCTGCCAGATTTCGAAATAACCTTTCCGATATGTGCATGGTTTTACAGTGAAGCTGTCGAATGTGAGCGGCTGCTGACCAAAACCTATACCGAGGAGGGTATTTGTTATACGTTTAACGCTTTAAATGCCACCGATTTGTATCGTGAAAATACCGTACAATATGAAAGGATGGGTTTGTCGCAACCAATGGATTCCATAGAAACCCTGAATAGAACATTGAGCTGGACATTGGCCGAGGGTTATGCGGAGAATAGTCCCCTCTTCACATATCCGGCAAGGATTTTAAAAAGTGGTGCCAAAACTGGCTTACATGTCGTTGTTAGGGCGTTTAAAAATGACAGTGACAGCAGCTGCACCGGACCAATGCAAGGTTTGAAAATCCTCCTACATGCCCCCGATGATGTACAAATGGTATCGGAAAGTTTCATCCGTCTTTCAATGCAGCGACAAGTTTCGATAGCTGTGAAACCACAAATGACAACCACCTCAAAGAACATAGAAGCTTTTACACCCGCCCAGCGACAATGCCAAATGCCCGATGAACGTTATTTGCGATTTTTCAAAGTCTACACGGAGAAAAACTGTGAGCTGGAATGTCTAACGAATTTCACTTTGGCCCAATGTGGCTGTGTTCGCTTTGCCATGCCACGCACCTGGGATATGCCCGTCTGTCGGGAGGATCAAATGGAATGCTATGCCAGTGCCGAAGGCAACCTCTCGGCCATGTTCTTTTCGAGTGATTTTAAAGAATCCACCAATAAATGCAATTGTCTGCCAGCCTGCACTTCGCTCGACTACGACGTTGAAATATCCGAGGGAAATTTTAAAGCCGAAGCCATTGGTGAGCAGTACATCGATGACCTGGAATATGCCGCATTTCATATCTATTTTAAGGATAATAAATTCTTTACTTCTCACCGTTCGGAATTGTATGGCTATTATGACTTCATAGCCAGTTGTGGTGGTATATTTGGTTTGTTTATGGGTGTCTCACTGCTGAGCGTTTTTGAAATACTATATCACGTAACGTTGCGGCTTTGGAATAATTATAAAGAGAAAAAATATTAAAATTGTTAAAATTTCATTAAATTTTATTGAAAAGAAAAGTAAATAAATATCACTTGATATTTCAAAAATTTGTCCCATTTTTTTTTTTTTTTTGAAGGCAGGTAATGGGTACAATCATTTGTTTCATCGAGAATAAAAATCCAGGTTTGCTACACAATTAGCAAGACCAGCTAACTGTCACATTAAATGCCAAAATACGTTAAGGTGGGAATACATAACGCCAAGGGCCAAAATCGAACTAAGTCACCCTAAAACTACTTTGCTCATCTACGAAGAAGCCAGCCAAATATGCGGTTTATGTATTTCTACCCTTAAGGCATTGTCCGACGGATTATGCTTCTTACATACAGGGTGAGATAAAAAAAACTGCAACAACGTCAAAAGCCATAATTTTTACACTTTTTTAAATTTTATTGAACGAAAGCAAAAAATGTCGGAAATAGCATCAAATTTTAGAATAAGTTTAGATTTGTTCGAACTGGTCAACTTTGGAACGAATTATGGCCTACAAACGGCCAATGAAAAGGTCACACGCTGCCCAAATGTTGCTCTGTGGTATTTTGGCCCATTCTCGGTGAAGCGCTTGCTTGAGGTGCTCGGCACTTTGGTATTTTTGTAGTGTCAACCTTGCTTTCCAAAATACTCTAGACACAATAGTCCAACGGATTGGTATTCGGAAATTTTGGTGGCCATTGTGCGCTGGAAATGAAGCGAGGAACTTTATTTTGTAACCATTCTTGGGTGGCGCGTGCTGAGAGCGATGGTGCTGACTTCTGTTGGAAAGTCCAAGGGCTGCGGCCAAAATGTTTGCGTGCCTAAGGATTTTATACACCCTCCAGAATATTTTCGTGATAATATTCGGCATTTATTCTGATGCCACGGTCGATAAATACGAGCGAAGAGCGACCATCGGCTGTTATGGCAGCCCACACCATCACCATGGCCTTCGCTTTAGTTCTGGTGCACATTTTCAGCTGACCTCTTTGGCAAGTAAACACGATTATCTTGTTTGTTTACAAACTGCTGGACAACGAACGTTTTCTCATCGGAGAAAACCAAATTCGGCCACTTTCGACCAAGCGACGCAACTCTTTAGCTCTTTTGGTTCTATTTTCTGTCAGTTGCAGTAAAGTTCTTGCACTTTTTGGTAATTCAATGGCTTTACCCCGAGCTTATTTTTCCATATAATGGCTTTACCACGAGCTCATTTTTCCATAGTCCTGTGACTATGTCCGCTTCCTGTCAGAATTATTCAAAATTACATGCGACAAGTTGTTCTCATTTATTTGTTAGTTTTCCTAATTTTTTAAATGAATTCTATTGCGCAAAAAATTTTTAATTCCGCGCGCCCTATGGTGTACGTTTTATGTGTGCGTATTTTAAAACTGTCACACTTGTCGCACATTGCAACTCTGATTACCAACCATTGCTTCCCCATGCAAAAGTAACCATTTGAATGCGTTGCCAACCACTTGTTAGCAAATACCTATAGCTGCTCTCCGCATTTAATTTAATTGGTTCTTTTATTTCATCGTGTTGCGCGAGAAGTTCGCGAGGCGGATAACTTTTCTTTTTTGTTTGTGAAAAAATATAATAATATAAAACAACACAAAGGAAAAGATTAGAATTTTCCAAAGGAAAAAAAAACACCGAGAGCAGCACGATAAATTCCCTCTTGCAATTTTTTATTTGGATAATTTGCAACACGACGACAATAGTTTGTGGGAGGACGACGACAACGAACACAAGGAGACGACACAAAAAAAAATAATTCAAATGACAATGGCTGCAGATCAATTCAATCAAATTTTAAATTCATTGCTTTCCACCGACAATGAAGTGAGACAGCAAGCTGAGGTGTGTAACCGCAACAAAAACAATGAGAATCTATTGAAATTTTTTATTTTAATAATTTGCAAAAAAAAAATGAAAGAACCTAGCAAAGAAGCCCAAGTGTTGTGTGCATGTGTGTGAGAGTGTATGCGCGCTCGTGGTGGTATTGTAAGCAACAAAAAAAAAAAAAGAATTATGACAAGGTTTTGTTCTGGAAGGAATGTGTTATGATGATGTCCCGAGCGCGGCGTTATGGTTCATGAAGGAGGAAAGGTTATTTGTACACATATTATATGAATGAGTGAGTGTTTGTTCGTATCAAGGGAGCTGTCCTAATATTTTCTGCCTTTTTTTGCACAAAGAAATTTCATGCCGACCGGACGACGAATAGTTGGTGGTGGTGGCATGCACAAGCTACTGCTCTTGTGTGGTGAATATTTATAGCGCGAAAAACGTGTTTTTACGTTGTCTTTTCTGTGCTGCTATTCTTTGGCATTGACGTGTTTGAAAATGATTTAAAAAGCGAAAAAAAGCCAAGAAACATTTAAAAATTCCCCGAAAATTAAATATTCATTGAAATGTGCCAAAAATTTTCGTAGAAAAAAATCTTGAGACTGCAAAAAAAAAAACGAAAAATCTCTTTATGACGACTTGCTGTGTGTCTGCCAATATATATGATTCATGGAAACGGAAGCAAAACAGAGCCAACAATAGCTAAGGAAAAACTGAATTGACTGACAAACAACAGAAGACAAGTAACGTCTGCCGCCCCTCAGCCGGCCAATTAAGCAGCCAGCAAGCCACTCAAATCGTGTGCTAATTTATTCTTTACTATTTAATATGATTAAGGCAAAGATTTTGCTGTGCCCCCCCACTCTTCGGGTTTTTGGGACTATGGAAGAAAATTCATGAATATGTTTTTCCTCCTATCTGTTTCAAGAAAAAGAAAAATAATGACGCATTTTCATGCCATAACGTTGGGAAGGAAAACAAAACTGCATGTGGTTGCAAAAATAAATCTGGTACCATAGATGGCGGCACCAGGCCCGGGCAGGCTATTATGCATGTGCCTGGTGGTCTCCACCAGGTATTGATTTTTATTAAAAAAAAAACATGCATACATCTCCCCAAACAAGCTTTCCTTCTATTGAACATGAGGCTGACCTTGTCATGTAATATCACCACCACCACCATCGTCAACAAACAGCTGAGAAGAGGAGCAGGCTGGTGGGTTCTAATGTAAACAACTGCCACAACTACTTGAAAACTAATCACACAATAAAAAAAGAAAAACAAATTAGTACAAAGTGTCCACCCTCCATCGCCCTTTTTATTCCCCACCTATTAATTTCCTTTTCTTTCTTTTTATTTTTGCATTACAGGACGCCTACAATAATGTGCCACGTGAAGTCAAGGTTACACATTTATTGGCCACCATTCATAATGGCCATCAATCCGAAGAGGCTCGTCAGATGGCTGCAGTTCTATTGCGTCGTCTTTTCTCATCTGAGTTCTTAGAATTTTATAAAGAGGTGAGTGAGCAGCTACTATCTTTCATTGTTCATTTTGATAGTTTCCTTTCAAATTCACCTTCTCCTACCTGTGTTATCTGGGTTTTTTTTTTCATTTCATTTTATTTGTTGTTCCTCATTATCATGGCATTGCCATTTTGGTTTTATTAGAAAACAGAAATTTCCATTTGCCAAAACAAAAGCTCATTTTTTGCAACAATCAAAAAAAACAAACAACCAAAGCAAGCAGCAGGTATCAAAAGGCAATCAACATGCATGTGTATATGCGTGTCTGGCGGTGTGTGTGTTTTGTTTTGATTTAATCTCCATCCATGCCGCCGCTGGCATCAGCAGCTAGCAATTGGGTAAAGTGGGTAGTGGTGTCTGATGGTGGGGCAAAACTTAAACACACCACAACAACACACAATAAAATGAGGTTATGTTCAGAGCTAATTTTTGTTCAACGCTGTACATAAAGTATGTGTATATAAGTATATATATGTATTTATTTATATATAAATTGGTGGCCTAATTTTTTTATATTGCAGATTCATATTTAGTATATAATAATGTCATTAGACCAGATACAGTGTTGGGTAAATGTCGAATTGCAATTTGCAAAATACACTACCACTCTTCAGTGGCTTCAAGAAGAGCATTTTCACAAATTAGCCAAAGCATTGTGAAATAGTTAACCCCATTTTGGAAAAGTTTACTCTTTGTCCTTTCAACTTGAAGTGGTGTTCAAAGTGGATGCGATTGCGTATAAGTTCGTAGACGCATATACAAGACTGGGGAAAATAGCATTTAGAAAATATAAAGGGGAAGACCAGGTATCTATATCGATTCTTGGTAGAAAGATGAATAACTATTTTCGAATTTTAGGAGCTGAACTTTACCGAAATGCTTTCTTGATATAATTTGTCTCCAGATAGAATAATACTTTCGATGGTTTATAAGTTAGCAATATCACTTTTAAATAATTCCTTCCAACATGAAGTGATTTCTTTTTTCCTTCCAACATGAAGTGTTAGACACCACTGTGGATGCGATTGCAAAGATTTCTGTCTGGAATGCGCTAAAATTCTTATTAAGTTTAAAGAAGTTGCTAATGTTTACTTTTTGTCCTTCCAACTTGGCGTGGTGTTCAAAGTGAATGCCATTGCGTAGAAGTTCGTAGACGCATCTACAAGAGTAACAAAATAGTATTAAAAATATAGAGGAGAAGTCTTTTATAGACCAGGTATATAAACTGAGTCGGTAGAAAGCGGAATAACTATTTTCGAATTTTAGGAACTGAACTGTACCTAAACGCTTTCTTGGTATAAATTGGTTCCAGATGAAATAATACTTGCAAATGTTCACAAGTTAGCAATATCACAGTTTTGGAAAGTTTTGCATTTTTGCCAGGAGTTGGCAATGTTTATGTTATCACAGAAATATCTCTGCATTCTACCTTTCATCTTTGAACTATCAGTATAGGCAGCTATACCATTTATAAGTGGGTTATTACGGGTCCAGGCGTACCTGTGGATGTCTAGTGGCTCAAAGTTGAGATATGGAATCACTGGTTTTGACACTGCCTCCTATGTGGTTAGAAAACTAAATCTTTCAACCAGGCAGGTCCTCGAAATAGTTTCGAAAGGCATTCCTGTTTATATCTCTGAGTGTCAGGGCAAACTATGCCGCCTGTCTCTCTACAAAATGACTTAAAGGATTTAAGTGAAGTATGAGGCATCCAATGCAGCTTGGGTTGCATTCCGAATTGTACATGTGATCAATAATGGTGCGGCTTTTTTTAACATAGATGAAGTAAAAAATGAACCCTTCTATAAGAAAGTCTTAAAAAGAATAATGCAGTGAAAGGTCGTAGCTCGTCTGTGAGTCAGAGCTCGGAAATGCCATTTTGTGAAACTCGGTTCCTATATATGTTATACCCTCAGCCATATGGCTATAGAGGGTATATATCATTCGATACGGCCAAAACGTGCATCATCGAAATAACGGTTTTAGACCCTAGGTCTCTTTGGACCAAATTCGTTTAAGGACATTTGAAGTCAATCTAGCGATGTCCGTCCGTTCGTCCCTCCATCTTTTTGTCTCTCTGTCTGGGTGGTGCGCACGATAACTCTCGAAGGGGGTATCCTATTTGATCCAAACTTGGTACATCGTAATATTATTGTCAGACTTAGATCGGGATCGGAGATGGGCAACATCGTTCCAACCCTTCTGGTGCCTCCCACACAAAATGCCAACATTTTTAAGGAAAATAATTTACTGCATAGCAAGAGAAAGGACAATCCGATTTTACTCCAACTTTGCATATCCTAGTATTTGCATCAGTGCTAGGTTAGGTCCGAAAATGAACAATATCGGTCCATCCATATCCATCCAGTACCTCAGCCACAAAGAATAAACTTTTTGAATAATTATAACTCGTATAAAATGTGATGTATGTGTCCGATTGTCTTCAAATTAAACACATCACAATATTTTTATGTGAAGATGGAATATATCGATCCACTCCTTCAGGTACCACCCCCACTAAGGGTCAAAATTTTGAATATTCATGAAGCTCGAAAACGTGAAATTCACATCCGATTCCATTCAAAATTGGCACATCTCAATATTTCCATAACAACGAGATCTGTTATAAATTTGGTAAATATCGGACTATTCCTTCTGGTACCTCCCCCACAAAGTGTCAACGTTTAGAATATAAATGAACTCAAAAACTATGAAAGTTGCATCCGATTCCATTCAGACATGGCACATCTCAATAATTCCATCAACACAAGTTTTGTTTGTAAAGATGGTAGAGATCAAACCATTCCTTCTGGTACCTCCCAAAGGGTTAAAATTTTGAAAAACCAAAACGGTCATAAAATCGGAAAAAAGCTTCCGGTTCTCTTCTAACTACATACATCACAATATTTTTATTTAACCAATGATTGGTGTGAAGATGGAATGTATCGGTCCACTCCTACCTTTTACCTCCCCCAAAAAGGATCAAAATTTTGAATACCCATGAAGCTCATAAAACGCAAAATTAACGTCCGATTCCATTCAGACTTTGTACATCTCAATATTTTCGTCAACACAAGATCTGTTATGAAGATGTCCGAAATCGGACCATTTCTTTTGGTACCTCCCCCACAAAGTGTTAAAGTTTTGAATAACTAGAACGATCATAAAATTCGAAATAATCATCCGCTCCTCTTCATATTTCACACATCCCATTATTTCAACTAACACAAGATCTGCTGTGAAATGGAATATACGGGCGAAATCCTTCTGGTACCTCCCCTCATAGGGTTCAAGATTTTTGAAGAAAAAAAAAAACGCTCTAAGAAATCGAAATAAGCATCCAACTCTTTTCAAATGCCACACATCTAAATATTTTTGCTAACGCAAGATCTGTTCTGAAGGTGATATATATTTGCCAACCCCTTCTCGTACCACCTCTCCCACAAAGGGTCACAAGTCGGCGATTCTTTACAACATTTTCCAAAAATTTGCCCATATCTCATATAAAGTGTAGGAAGTAGTCGATATAGTCCAGATCTGGCACGTTGCAATATTTTATCAGTCATAGGTCGGATACGAATTAGTCAGTATTGTCCAACAGCTTCGAAACCTTCCCCATAAAGGGTAAACAGTTTGAATAATCATAGCTCAAGGATGAGGGTATACATCTGTCGGCAAAACCGACTGATACCATTTTACTTGTTTTACATGAACAAAGTTCTAACATAACTTGGTAACACCCCCCGGATCTCGTCTCATATATTAAACAAATACCACTCATTGTACTATAAGAGGCCAGGGTGTGGTAAATGCAGAATGCGTTAGGCAGATCTGTAGTTTGATTTTACAACAACACAACACAATTCTCAAGTACACATTGAGATCATTAGAAATTACGGCTTGTGATTAATGACGTCAGCCTATGCCGCAAGACTTTACCATAATATAACATGGCGGATGTGGGCATTCTCTCTTAAATCATTAAAATCTAATTTTTTTCCACACAAAAAGTACAAACCTCTTTAAATTCCACATTTCAATATATTTCTATATTTTTCTTTGGTTTGCAGCTGCCGCAAGAGGCGCAGGGGCAACTGTTACAACAAATACTCTTAGCCGTCCAGCAAGATGTAACACCGAATTTGCGGCGTAAAATATGTGAAGTTGTTGCTGAAGCCGCCCGCAATCTAATCGATGAAGATGGTAACAATCAATGGCCCGACTTTTTGCAATTCCTCTTCCAATGTGCCAATTCGCCATCGGCTCAATTGCAAGAGTCTGCCTTGCGCATCTTTGCCAGTGTCCCGTCCATATTTGGCAACGATGAGGCTCAGTACATGGATTTGATTAAGCAAATGTTGACCAAAAGCATGGAACCCAGTGCTGATGTTGAGGTCCGTTTCCAGGCTGTACGTGCCGTGGGTGCTTTCATCTTGCGTCACGACAAGGAAAAGGAGGCAGTCATCTATAAGCAATTTGCAGATTTATTGCCACGCATGATTATGATCACCGCCGAAAGTATTGAGGCCCAGGATGATCAATCCTTGTTGAAATTGTTGATTGACATGACCGAGACCTGTCCCAAATTTTTGCGTCCTCAATTGGAGGTTATTTTTGAGATCTGCATGAAGGTAAGCGGCATTAAAATTACCATAAAACTTATTTGAAAAAAAAACTCATCCTTGCACATTTTTTAGGTATTCAGTTCCCAAGATGTAGAGGACAGCTGGCGCCATTTGGTCTTGGAAGTCATGGTATCGTTGTCCGAAAACGCCCCAGCCATGGTGCGTAAACGTGCCGAAAAATACATTGTCGCCCTGATCCCCTTGGTCTTGCAAATGATGACCGACATGGAGGATGATGAAGACTGGGCCACCTCCGATTCGGTAACAGAAGATGACAACAGCGACAACAATGTCATTGCCGAATCGTCCTTGGATCGTCTGGCTTGTGGTTTGGGCGGCAAATGTGTGTTACCCAATGTCATGAATGCTTTGCCAGCTATGTTGGGTCATAGCGATTGGAAGCAACGTTATGCTGCCCTAATGGCCATCTCAGCCATTGGCGAGGGTTGCCACAAACAAATGGAAGCCATGCTGGAACAGGTTATGGCCGGTGTTTTGAACTTTTTGCGCGATCCCCATCCACGTGTGCGTTATGCTGCCTGTAATGCCATTGGCCAAATGTCCACCGATTTTGCGCCCACATTCGAAAAGAAGTTCCACGAACAAGTTGTTCCCGGTCTACTGTCTCTGTTAGATGATGTGCAGAATCCACGCGTGCAGGCTCATGCTGGTGCTGCCCTGGTCAACTTCTCGGAGGATTGTCCCAAGAATATTTTGACCCGTTACTTGGATGGCATTATGGGTAAATTGGAAGCTGTCTTGAATTCCAAATTCAAGGAATTGGTTGAAAAGGGCAACAAATTGGTGTTGGAACAAATTGTCACCACCATTGCCTCCGTGGCCGATACCTGTGAAAAGGAGTTTGTAACCTACTACGATCGTTTGATGCCATGCCTGAAGTTCATCATCCAAAACGCCAATTCCGAGGAGTTGCGTATGTTGCGTGGCAAGACCATTGAATGTGTCAGTTTGATTGGTTTGGCTGTGGGTCGCGAGAAATTCATCACCGATGCCGGCGAAGTTATGGACATGCTGTTGAAGACCCACTCTGAGGGCGATTTGGCCGATGATGATCCCCAAACCTCATATTTGATTACCGCCTGGGCCCGTATGTGTAAGATTCTGGGCAAACAATTCGAACAATACTTACCCCTGGTTATGGGTCCCGTTATGCGCACAGCTGCCATGAAACCCGAGGTGGCTCTTTTGGACAACGATGAGGTCGAAGATATTGAGGGCGATGTCGATTGGTCCTTCATCAACTTGGGTGAACAGCAAAACTTTGCCATTCGCACAGCTGGCATGGAAGACAAGGCATCGGCCTGTGAAATGTTGGTCTGCTATGCCCGTGAACTGAAGGAAGGCTTTGCCGACTACGCCGAAGAGGTGGTACGTCTAATGGTGCCCATGTTGAAGTTCTACTTCCATGATGGTGTACGTACAGCTGCAGCCGAATCTTTGCCTTGTCTCTTGGACTGCGCCAAAATCAAGGGTCCCCAATACTTGGAAGGCATGTGGCTATATATTTGCCCAGAACTCTTGAAGGTTATTGTCAGCGAGCCCGAAGCTGATGTCCAGGCCGAACTTTTGAATTCGTTGGCCAAGTGCATTGAAACCCTGGGACCCAATTGCTTGAATGATGACGCCATGAAACAGGTTTTGGAAATCATTGCCAAGTACATGGAAGAACATTTCGAAAGGGCCGACAAACGTTTGCAGGCCCGCAACGAGGAGGACTACGATGATGGCGTTGAAGAGGAATTGGCCGAACAGGATGACACCGACACATACATTCTATCGAAAATTGTTGATATCCTCCATGCCCTATTCCTCACACACAAGGTACAGTTTTTGCCACATTTCGATCAGATAGCTCAGAACTTTGTAAAACTCTTGGATCCATCACGTTCATGGTCGGACAGACAATGGGGTCTGTGTACATTCGATGATGTTATAGGTAAATGAAAAAAAATCTCTGGAGAAAAGTTTAAAAAACTTTATTTGTCCCCTCTGTTTTAGAATTTTGTGGCCCTGCCTGCGCCGCCTATCAACAGTTCTTTACACCTGCCCTGTTGCAATATGTCACCGACAAATCACCCGAAGTCCGCCAGGCCGCCACATACGGTTGTGGCGTTTTGGGCCAATTCGGTGGTGAACAATTCGCTGTAACCTGTGCACAAATCATTCCTCTCTTGGTCCAAGTCGTCAACGATCCCAAGAGCCGTGAACCAGAAAATATCAATCCCACAGAGAATGCCATATCGGCCGTAACGAAGATACTGAAATACAACAAATCTGCTCTGCCCAATGTCGATGAAATCATAAATGTTTGGTAAGTCGGAAACTTTGTGAACTTCTTCGTTGAGGGTTTCTCGAGGTCTTCTATGTGCTCCAGACTTTTTCAGAGGTCTTCTGTGTATAGAAGACCTCCAGAGGTCTTACATGGATAGAAAACCTCCAGAGGTCTTCTGTATATAGAATACCTCCAGAGGTCTTCTGTATATAGAAGACCTCCAGAGGTCTTCTGTATATAGAAGACCTCCAGAGGTCTTCTGTATATATAGTCTTCTGTGTATAGAATACCTCCAGAGATCTTCTGTGATATAGAAGACCTCCAGTGGTCTTCTGTGTTATAGAAGACCTTCAGAGGTCTTCAGTGCTTAGAAGACCTCCAAAAGGTCTTTTGTGTATGGAAGTCCTCTAGAAGGTCTCTTAGAGGATACTTCTAGCAGATCTTCTGTGTATAGAAGACCTCTAGGAGGTCGTCTGTGTGTAAAAGACCTCTAGATGGTCGTTTGTGTATAGAAGACCTCTAGATGGTAGTCTGTGTATAGAAGACCTCTAGGAGGTCGTCTGTGTATAGAAGACCTCTAGGAGGTCGTCTGTGTATAGAAGACCTCTAGGAGGTCGTCTGCGTATAGAAGACGTCTAGATGGTCGTTTGTGTATAGAAGACCTCTAGATGGTAGTCTGTGTATAGAAGACCTCTAGGAGGTGTTCTGTATATAGAAGACCTCCAGGAGGTCGTCTGTGAATAGAAGACCTCTAGGTGGTCCTCTGTGTATGGAAGACCTCCAGAGGACTTTTGTGACACAGAAGACCTGAAGAAGTTCTTCTGTTTATAGAAGACCTCTAAAAGGTCTTTTGTGTATAGAAGACTTCCAGAGGTCTTCTGCGTATAGAAGACCTCCACAGGTATTCTGTGTTTAGAAGACCTACAAAAGGTCATTTGTGTATGGAAGTCCTCTAGAAGATCTCCTAGAGGATACTTCTAGCAGGTCTTCTCTGTTAGAAGACCTCTAGGGGGTCGTCTGTGTATAGAAGACCTCTAGGAGATCTTCTGTTTATAGCAGACCTCTGGAAGAAGAACTGTGCTATAGAAGACCTCCAGTGGTCTTTTGTGTATGGAAGAAGTTCTGCTGTGTATAGAAGACCCCCACAGGCTCTTTTATGTGTGAAAGACCTCCAGAGGGACTTCTTTGTTTTTTTCTTTTTTCTCTCTTTTCTATATCTGTCCACTCGCATTTATTGTTCCCTTTTTTATAAATTTTCCAGGTTCTCTTGGTTACCCGTCACCGAAGACAGTGATGAAGCTCCTCATATCTATGGTTATTTGTGCGAATTAATACAGGCCAATCATCCAATTATTTTGGGTGCCAACAACTGTAATCTACCACGTATTGTTTCGATTATTGCTCAAGCATTTGCCAACAAAGTGGTGGCTGCCATCAGTGATGTTGGTTCACGGATGTTGGGTATTGTCAAACAGGTTGAGTCCAATCCCGAGGTCTTCCAGGCATGTGCTAGCCAATTAACACCAGAAATGCAACATGCCCTGCAAGAAGCCATACGGGAATTGGCTTTAGCTTCGGCCCAGGGTTAAACAAAACAAAAAAGTGATGAAAACTAAACAAACACACATTTTGCATAACAGGAAAACACACCACAATTCTCACCACACCCAGAAATTTGCAAAACAAAAAAGAAAGAAAAAAAGGAATTTGCTTTATTTTGAAAAAAAATGCATTATATAAAATATATAAAAAAGCAGACCACAAAAAAAACGAAAAAAAAAATATCTATAAAATATAACGAGTATATAAAATATACTTAACCAAAATAACCTATCAAAACCATACTAAAAACAAAACAAATATATATAAACAAATATATATTCTGAACAATATATTCACCACCAGTCTATTTCCCCCCACACCCAACCACTACCAAGAAATTAAAGACACACTACAGCAGCAGCAGCGGCGTATACAAACAAACATAAACTCGCCTACACACACACCTCAACACAACTACTACTACTACTATCTACATATACACATAACATATACATATATATGATTGAATAATTAAAAATTATCCACATATAAATGCTACAACAAAGAGTTAGTTTAAATATTAAGAAATGAATTTTCGCTTTGCATTGTTGTTCCCTTTGTATCTTCTTTTTTTCTTTAATTATTTGGTAGCTGGCAAATGAATTCAGTTTTGACTGTGTTTTTTCTCGATGGTAACAGAAAAACCTAACCTCTTAACAACAAATCAATGTGTATTTAAAAAAAACAAACAAGAAAAAAAATCAACAACATTTTTTAGTCTTCTACTCTTTTTTGATGATTATTTAATAACTATTTTAAATAAATTCCATTTTTTAAATGTAGAAAAGAAAAATTTAGTATTTTTCTACAACTCTTCTCATATGAGTGCATAAATTATTATTTTAGATTTTTTCCTTAATTTTTTGATAAACGCAAAACAACATTTATATATTTTTATTAATTTAAACTTTATTATTTGTTGCGCTTACTTAGGTTTTCTTTTTGTGTATTTGCAACAACAACAAAGTATATACGGATTATTGCTTTCTTTTAAACATTGAAATTACATTTTTATAAATTTCTTTGAAAATAAATCATGTGCAGCGCGTTAGGATCTTTAAAAAAGAAAACTCAATTGTATGTTTTTTTGACTTTACATTATTATTCATTATTGATTAATTATTTTTTAATTGTTTACAAACAAAACAAAAAAAAAGTCTTTTAATGAGTCGAAATACAAAAAAAAAGATATCATAAAAATTGCAAGTAACTTGAAAATATATTTAAAAGAAAAACAACAACAACAACACTATTAAATAATAAAAATTACGAAAACAAAAAAAGAAACCCATTTCTGTGGATTTATTTATTTTTAAATTTTATTTAAAAACAAGTTAAAAAGCGTCAGTCGGTTTTGCCGACAGATGTATACCCTCAGCCTATATCAGTTTATTAAAATAAGTTTTGACTTAAATTATATGATAATTTAAAATGTTGCCCCTCGTTGAAACTTTTGTGGGGGAGGTACGAGAGAGGGAGTTATCCGATGAATTACATATTCACATCAGATCATAAATTGAGAAAAATATGTCAATTTGCCTAGTTTGAAAAGAATCGCCGATATGTTTCGCAATTTATGAGAGATATATTCATTGCAAATTGTGAACCTTTTGTGGGAGAGGTACAAGAAAGAGTAGGCCAATATCTATAATTTTCACAACAGAACTGACTTAGTAAAAATATTGGGATATATGAAATTTGAAGGTAATCGGATGCTTATGAGAGATATAATTATTCAAAATTTTGACCAGTTGTGGTGGAGATATCAGAAGGATAGATCCGATATATCTCATCTCCACATCAGACTTGTGTAAAAAAAAATTGAGATATGTGAAATTTTAAAAGAATCTGATGCTTATTTCACACTTTATGAGATATATAATTATTCAAAAATTTGACCCGCTATGGGGGGAGGTACCAGAAGGAGTAGTTCCCGACATATTCCATCTACATACCAGGTCATGTATTGCTAGAAATATTGAAATGTGCCGAATTTAAGGGAATCGAATGCTCATTTTACGATTTACGAGCTTCATGGCTATTCAAAATTTTGTCCCATTATGTGGGAGTTACTAGAAGGGGTAAACCGATATATCCCATCTCCGGTTCGATCTCTACCATCAGATCTTATATTGATGGGAATATTGAGATATACCAAGTCTGGATGGAATCGAATGTCAATTTCGCTTTTTATGAGCTTTATGGACATACAAAATGTTGAACCTTTGTGGGGGAGGTACCAGAAGGAGTGGACCGATATACCCCATCCTCAAAACAGATCTTTTGTTTGTGGAAATAATGGGATGTGTGAAATATAAAGTGAACCTGATGCTTATTTCGCGTTTTATGACCTTCATGGATATTCAAAATGTTGTCCCTTGGTTGGGGAGGTAACAGAAGGAATTATCCGATCTCTACCGTTTTTATAACAGATCTTGTATTGATGGAAATATTACGATATGCCGATTATTTATTTATTTATTCATTTCATACCATAATTATTATTATGAATCCGTTCAATATTATAATAATTATTATGAACGGATTCGGATGTTAATTTCGCTTTTTATGAGCTTCATGGATATACAAAATTTCGACCTTTTGTGGCGGAGGTACCAGAAGGAGTTGACCGATATATTTCATATTCACACCAGAACTTGGGTTAATAAAGATATTGTGATTTGTGTAATTTGAAGATAATCGGATTCTTACTTCACATTTTATAAGAGTTATTCAAAATGTTAACCCTTTGTGGGGGAGGTACTTGATGGAGTGGACCGATATTGTCCATTTTCGCACCTGACCTAGCACTGATGCAAATATTAGGATTCGCTAAGTTGAAGCAAAATCGGATTATCCTTTCTCTTACTGTGCAGTAAATTATATTCTTTGAAAATGTTGACATTTTGTGTAGGAGGTACTAGAAGGAACTCTATCTAAGTTTGACAATAATATTACGATGTATCAAGGTTGGATCAAATCGGATACTCGTTTCGAGAGTTATCGTGCGCACCAGCCAGCCAGACAGACGGACGGACATCGCAAGATCGACTCCAAATGTCCTGAAACGGATTTGATCCAAAGAGGCCTATGGTCTAAAATCATTACTTCGATAAGGCACGTTTTGGTCGTATCAAATGATATACACCCTCTGCAGCCATATGGTTGAGGGTATAAAAATCCACGTTGAATTGGCCTTGAAGGGGGTCTAGAAAGCTCCTTAAAAATGTACTTTGGAGGCCCTGGAAGAAATTCTCAAAAGTCCTTTAAAAATCCACGTGATATGGAACCTTAAAAAGGAGTTCGGCGGTCTGGATATTCAAAATGTGGACTCAATTTATGGTGTCCTTAGCTTGCCAGAATGTAATAGGGCGACTCAAATTAATCGTTTGGAAACCACCAGATGTATACCCGGAAGGTACAGGTCCTTTCTAAGATAAATTGTCATGTGAATGGCCGGCCTGCTGAAAGGGTATCGTCCACATTGAAAAGGAGAATTTAGCACCCCTAAATATTCGTCGTAGACTCCATGAAGTATATATATTCATGATCATCATGATCGTCTGTTGAAATCACGATTATTTGACGTAGAGCGCCAAATTTTAGCAGAACAAATTGTATTGTATCTAGGATAGTTGGTATTGAAAATGAGATATATCGGTCCACGTTTTGGTACAGTCCCCATATAACGGTACCTCCCAATATTCGGTATTTTGATGATTTTTGCCACATTTTTTCACGGATTTATCTGAAAATTGGTATTTGTGGGTCAAAATGGGTCCTAGTTCGTGTGGCGAAACGTTGTATGTATAAGTACATGCTTTGGTATAGCCCCCATATAACGTTATCTCCCAATATTCGGTATTTGGATGATTTTTGTCACATTTCTTGACGGATTTATCTAAAAATTAGTAATTGTAATTATAGGTCATAATGGGTTCTAACTACGGTGGCGAAAGATTGTATGTGTAGGTCCAGGCTTTGGTATTGCCCCCTATAATGGTACCTCCCGATATACGGTATTTGCATGATTTTTGCTTCATTTTTGTCACGAATTTGTCTAAAAATTGGTATTTGTTGGTCATAATGGGTTCTAGCTTCGGTGGTAAAACATTGTATGTATAGGTCCAGGATTTGGTATAGCCCCCCTATTATGCTACCTCCCGATATTTGGTATTTAGATGATTTTTGCCACATTTTTTTCACGGAATTATCTAAAAATTGGTATTTGTTGGTTATAATGTGTTCTAACTCCGGTGGCGAAACATTGTCCACTCTTTGTTAAGGCCCATATAGCGGTACCTCCCTTTATTCGGTATTTTTGATGATTTTTACCACATTTTCCCATAAATATGTCTAAAAATTGGTATTGGTGGATCATAATGGGTTCTAATGTTTCCTTTATTCTAAGGGTGAGGGTATTGAAATTTCGGCCCGGCCGAACTTAATAATTTTTTACTTGTTTTTATTCGTTTTAAACGCTTTTTAGTTCCTTCCAAAAGGTGGAGGGCATTAAAAGTTCCTTCCGACCCGAACTTACCTTCCTTTTTACTAGTTTCCATTGATATCCATTACAAAACTAAAAACAGGGGTTAATTTGAATACACTTTACAATCGAAACTTTATTATATATTTTTTTATGAATTTCTTTCCGGTTGTGGGTAGAGTGGAATTGTTAGTAGGTTTGTTTTTTTTTTTTCATAATATTACTCTAAATGTCTTCTTCTGGTTGTTGCTCATCGTTTGCTTTGTTTAAAACAATTACTTTTTCTTTTTTGCTTAATGGAATTTGGGGGCATGTTGTTAATGGGTGACTAACTTAAAAAAATATATTCTTAAAAATAGCAGCGAAGGGTGTTCAAAATCTATATTATATGTATATGAGATTACGGAAGAAAAATTATCATGATGGTTCGAGGAATTGAGTATAAGACGATAATATTTTGAAAAATATACAATTTTGTGATTGCAAATTTTAATACTAAATCGGGAGAAAAGTGGTCTATTGTTCGCTAGCCTCCTTTCTTTCTAATAAAAAGAGGCTAGTTCTTCTTACACGGAACTTTATGGGTAAGAGGAGGATAAGAGTTCGAAAGGAGAATTGTCAAAACAAATAATAATAAATAATAATAATACTAATTAGATCGAAAACAATGAGGGTAAATAATTTAAGAGAAATTTGAATGAATGAGAGAGAGAGTAGAGAATTCTGAAATTGTTTACTTTTTTTCTTGGCATATAACTAATTCTTTTATATAATTACGTATTCTTTTATGTAATAATTTTCTTCGGGAAAGTTTAGCAAAAAAACCAAAAATCTCTTCGCATTTCAACCCAAAAGATATTGATCATCTGCCTCTACATTGTCGGGATCCACCTCTTCGATTTCCGCCTCGGCCTCTAATAAATCAATATCGAGCATATTTTCGGGACATGGAGCATCAGCATCATACTCGTCTTCTTCGTCATCCTCATCGCCGACTTCCGCCACATTATCCTCTGCATCGGGATTTGTTTCGGCCTGTTGTCCTCCATCATCGTCATTCTCCTCCTCCTCATCGCCACCGGCAAACTGATGACTATCATCTTCATCTTCCACATCACATGTGGGATCCACCACGCGCATTTTTTGTACCATTTGTGGATGTTTGTTCTTCAAATGCTCCTGCATGTTGCTAATATGGAAATAGCTCATCGAACAGAAGCGACAGTGCAGGTATGCTCCAAACGGCAAATGCTTGAATCTGTGCACCTGCAAATCCCTCAACTTACTGCCATTGACATGTTCGTTACATTCCAGACATAAATGCAGTTTTGAACTGATCTTCTTGAAATTCAAAACTCCTCTACAATTGAGGTTATGTTCAATGTTGATGTGTTCACGCCAGCTGCGCGTGGATTCGAATTCCACACCGCATTGGGGGCAGCTCAGGGTGAAGCAACCTTGATTGTCGGCCGTGCTTTCGGTGAGCGGTGCTGTGATGCCGCCTCCGCCGCCGCCGGGCATTGAAGCCCTTGTCGGCCAGACATTCTTTGAAGATGGACCAGCTGATGTTTCACCCATCAATACATCGTCATCGAACTGCGATTCGTTTTTCTCATCTCTTAGCTCAGCCGATTGCAGGCCAGCGCATTTATTTGTGATTTTATCCAAATGTTTGAAGAACATTTGCTTGCGTACAAATTCACCCTTGCACACGGTGCAATGGAATGACTTATAGGGCAAATGACGGAACTTGTGCGATTGCAATTGGCCAATGGCTCCCTTGGTGTGGGTGACAGTTACCCGTTTGTAGCACTGCAAACAGATGTAATGGTGATCGTCCAACTGGCGGAAATTCAAACCCTGTCGGCTGTTCAAATTGTGCTCATCCACAATGTGTTTGCGCCAGAAGACATGCGAATCAAAGGTCTGGGTGCACGAGGGGCAGTGATAGAAAATACTCTCGTGATCGACAGCATTGTGGTAGGAAATAACATCTTCCACCGTCTTGAGGCCTGAGGGGCGATCGGAACTGGTGACATCAAAGGATTTGTTGCTAGCACCACCGCCACCACTGCTGCTGCCGCTGCCCACATATGGTCTGGGTGCATTGAAGCTATTGCTGTGCATTTGTTTTCTGGCATCGGCGGCCATTTTTGAGTGCTGGGCCGGCTCCGCCTCCATAATATTGTGGCGCTGGCGCAAATGGCTAATCATGTTCGGCTTGTGATTATAGGCCTGACCACACAGCAGACACTTCAGATACTGCCTATGGGGACAATGCCGAAACTTGTGATCCTGCAAACCCTTCAGCTTGGAACTCTGCACAACTTCATTGCATGTCCTGCACTGGAAGCGCATCTTATCAAGCATACGGAAGCCGAGAGATTCACGTTTATCGAAATTGTGTTCGGAATTAATGTGGCGACGCCATAAATGTCTCATTCTAAATTCAATGCCACATTCCGGACAGATATAGATGAAATTGCACTCCACGTTTGATTCCTCCAAGCTGGCATCGACCATAACCGGCGGATCACGGCTGCTGGGTGTTAGCAAATCATCGCCGGCGGCATCGTTTGACTTGTCTTCCACCACAAAATCATGTTCCGTCTTGATGTGATGCTGTAAAGCTTGGGGATTTTTGAAGATCGAACCGCAATCTACACAACGATGTCGGGACATTTGCTCCAAATTGGGTTTTTGCAAAGGATACTGTCTGCGGTTATAAGAATGGGTGTCAAATGATTTATTTGCAGGAAAACCAGTACCACGTCCATCAAAACCCATGTCACCAGCCACACCACCACCACTGCCGCCACCACCACCGAAATCATCATCGGCATCCTCATCCAAAAAACATATTTCATAGGTATAGTTATTGTGTCGCACAATCTCCTTGTAGGGCTGCTGCTTTAATTTGAAGGGCGGCTTTGTGCTGGGACTACCGAAATTCGGTATGGGCGAGGAGTTGTTCATAGTTCTCGATGACGACACCCCAATGCCATGGGCATTCCTAAGATGTTTGGTCAAACCCTTACGTTCCGTGTACTGTTTACGACAGATACGACAAATGGCAAAGGATTTATACTGCATGTGCGTGATGCGATGTTGCTGGGCATTTTGTATGCCATAGGCATTTGTAATGATCTTATCGCATTCCCGACATCTCAGCTGTAGTTCATTGATCACTTCAAAATTCAGAGTTTCCAAATCGCCCAACTGGTGCTGATCGACCATGTGTTTGCGCCACATCTTCTTATCCGTAAACTCTTTGCCACACTGTGGACAGAGATAGTTTATATGCTGTTCAAAGGTGTCGCGTTCCTCGGATTTCGACATAAAACTACCACCATTACCCCACGATCTTTTGCCATCATAATCATCAGCACCGAATCCAAAGGGTTCTTGACTATCTTCGTCGTCTCTGTTGTTGTTGTTGTTGGTGATTTTATCCGATACCAAATGATGTTTTTCGGCCAAATGACGTATTGCATCCTTGCTGACATCAAAGTCGATGAAACACAATTTGCAGTTCATCCATTTCTTGTGCGGCAAATGGGTGAATTTGTGTAATTGTAAATTTTTGATGGTATTATTGGTGATGGTCTAGAAGAAACAATTTTGAAAGGACATCGCATTAATAAGGAGTGAAAAATGGATGTTAAATTTTTGTAGCTAGAAATGATATCGGCTGACTTTTGAATTTTAAATTCCAGCGATGACTTGATGTGAAACATATTTTAGGAAATCGATCTGGGACTACTAAAAACCACTGTGAAACAAATGTTCAATGCTGAGTCTACAGATTACACTATGGCCAACATTTGTTGGGTTCTGGTCTGGGAGCAGTCAACTATGAGAATAGCATTTGCAATGAATTTATTAATTAAGACTCTTTTTATACCCTCCACCATAGTATGGAGGGTATATTAAGTTGGTCATTCCGTTTGTAACACCTCGAAATATACATTTTAGACCCCACAAAGTATATATATTCTTGATCAGCACAAAATTCCATGGCGATTTAACGTCAGTCCGTCCGTCTGTGGAAATCGACATAGCTTCCGAACGAAATGAAGTAGGTTGATAAAATTTTACTCAAATGTATATTATGCCTGCAGGACTTTTGGTATTGAAAATGGGCCATGTAGATCTACGTTTTGTTATAGCCCCCACATAATGGCACTTCTCGATATTCGGTATTTTGGTAATTTAAGCGACATTGTTTACCGAAAATTTTTCAAATTTGGTATTTGAAGTTCGTAATGGATACTACAGTCTATAACAGAAAATTCCCCGTGCAGGTTCACACTTTCGCATAGCCCTCATACAACGGCACCTCCGGACCTTGTGACATTATTCACCGGAATTGTTTCAAATTTCAAATTAAGTTCATAATGGATACTACAGCCTATGACAGAAAATTGTCTGTGCAGGTCCACGTCTTCGTGTAACGGTACCTCCCGATATTCGGTATTTTGATCATTTTAGCGACATTATTCAACGGAATTGTTTCAAATTTGGTATTTGAAGTTCGTAATGGATACTATAGCCCAAGAGAGAAAATTGTCTGTGCAGGTCCACGTCTTCGTAAAGCCCCCATATAATGGTATCTCCCTATTTTCGGTATTTTGTTGATTTAAGCGACATTACTCACTGGAATTTTTTCAAATTTGGTATTTTAAGTTCGTAATGAATACTACAGCCTATGACAGAAAATTGTCTGTGTAGGTCCACGTCTTCGTATAGCCCCCATATAATGGTATCTCCCTAGTTTCGTTAGTTTGGTGATTTACGCGGCATTATTCAGCGAATTCAATTTTCAAGTTTCGCATTTAAATATTGTAATGGCCTATGACAAAAGTTGCCTATGTAGGTCCACGTCGTCGTATACTCGGTATTTTTAGGATTTTAACTGATTTTATTATTTATTTGAAAATTTCCAAATTCGTTCCAAATGGTGGAGGGTATTCATAAAATTACAATTAAAGAAGATTTCTTGATTTTTTTCAGAGGAAACATTTTGTTCTTCTATTCTTCTAAGGATACAAGTTCAAAGATATAGGAGCTCAATTTCACGCCTTTAAACTTGGGTGGAACGGGAGCAGTAGACTCCAAGGATGACATTCATACTGTAATTGGTAACATCATGGATGACTGTAGCAGCATGAATGCTACTCCGACCTATCTGATAGGCTTCTTGATGAGAGTTTCTGAAAACTCCTATGTTTACATCCAAGCAAGTAATGAACCGGAATCATAACCGGTTCATTACTTGCCCAAGTGCTGTCGGACTACGCCTTAAACACTATGGTCCTAATTTTCAATTTATAGCAGATGGCTGTGGCTTGCACGGAATCCTTGAACATACCGTCGAATGGGACCCCAAGAATCTTGGGGTAAATTGTGAAATGAATTTTTCCTTGACCTGAAAATTAGGCTGTGTGTACACCTCCGCAGGCCTTGTGGAAAAGTGTGGTGGGTATTTTTATATTCCTCGCTTAAAAGAAGGTTGCAATCTCCGCTTGATAGTCTTACTCATATGTCATCAACGGGACAGGACAAGGCGACGTCGTTGTAATAATCGTGGAAAGGGACGTTGACTTTGCACCGGAACCAGAATCAGTCATATTTTCATATTTCTCGCTTAGCGGATATTTTTATATTGATCATCACTAGGAAGAATGTGACAAGCTCCGAGAGATAGGTGTTTGGCCTTACTCATATTTTAGCAATGACAGGACCCAGCGGCGTCGTTTTTATGCTCGTCAATGGGGGTGTTGACTTAGCACCACATTAGCATTATCATAATTGTAAAAAAATGTTAAGGTTCATTACCCAAGACAGGAGACAATATGCCCATATTTCCAACGTCAAAATTGTATTTCCCATTCTCAAAAAAAGGTAAATTAAAAAAAAAAATTGAGAGCACTATTGATTCTTTTTGGACATGTTCGATAGAGATATATACATTCGGAGCAATATCAGTTTATAATCCTTTGTTTTTGTATCCCTTATATCCCTTCCAGTGCTTTAATTACATATTATCCCAATACAGAATGTCATTTCTTAACATCCCTTCCAGTGCTTTAATTACATATTATCCCAATACAGAATGTCATTTCTTAACATCCCAGCACAATCCGATTGCATTTACACAGCTTAACCTGATGAATTGGGACAGATTTTTAAAATATGCCTTTACCCTAAAAAACGACTCTATTTTTAAATGCACTCCCCCCTCACCCAAACTTACCTGATTACATTCAATACACTGGGCTTGTCCTTGATTAATATCGCGTATATTCAGACCCTTTCGCGAAGCAAAATCATGTGATTCCTCAATGTGTTGATGCCACTGTTCGCGTGTTTCACATTCCGTTTTACACTGGGGACATGTAAATAGAATATACTCCTCCAACGATTCATCGATATCGTCTAATAGTTTTGATTTTAGTTCCTGCGAAGCACCCACTCCGCCACCAGAACCATTCGTTGAACCATCATCTATAAATGTGGGCAATTCTCGAGCAAATCGCTTTGCCGGAGGTTGGTGCAATGAACCATCTGGATCGTCTTCATCCAATACCTCGTTACGTACTTCAATATTATCCGAATTACTGTCGTAAATATCTAGGGCATTCTCCTTGACTTGGCCAATGGAAAGATTAGGTCGCGCCGCCGTCGTTGTTGGTTTGTTCAATATGGATCGTATCATTTGATTTGGTTGAGGTCGATTTTTATGTTCCTCCTTGGCGACGGCTATCAGTTCATCACGATGTGTCATCTTTAAATGGACCATCAGATCTTGACGATATTTATATTCTCGCTTGCAAATGAAACATTTACAGACACGATAGGGTAAATGGGTGAATTTATGCTTCATCAAGTTTTCCATGCTATGCATAGCTATACGTTTTTGACATTCTCTGCATCCGTGATAGAGTTTATCCAACTGAACGAAATTCAGTCCAGCTCGGGTGTTGAAGCTATGTACTGTATTCAAATGGGTTTTCCAGGTTTCCTGAGATCGAAACTCATCGCCACAGCTGGGGCAAATGTAAATAATTGCATCTTCATATCGAACCAGGCTGTGAAAGTATTCATCCTCTGCCGAGAGTGGAGGTGGTGGTTCGTTGTTTGTTTGTTGCGTAGACCTGCGGGTCGAGTTCGAATTATCAGCATAGAAGTCGAACAGAGATTCATCTGGCTGCTGTGGTGTATCTCGATCACTGTGCAATATTGAATGAAAGGCAAAGGGGCTGTCATCGTCGAAATTCTCCTCCACCGGTTCGGGGGGTTCCTCTTTCACCTGCATATCTTGTACGGGTGAGGGTATGGTGAATGGTTCATTGTTTTCTTCACCCTCGCCATTCTCATCATTGTTCTCGTCACCATCATCGTTTTCTTCATTGCCGTCATTATCGTCACCTTGTTCGCTTGTGAACATATTCCATGGTTCTAATTCATCCATTTTGCAAACTTTCCCTAAACGCTACTAGAAAGAATTGCAGGCCCTAATCCTGTTTTTCTTCTTGTGCAAATTCTTAGGTTTTCTCAATGCTGCTGCTGCTTTTGTTCTGCTCTATGCTTCTTCTTTTCTTTATACTTTTTGCTGGCCTCTGCCGTCTGCTTGCTTTTCTTTTCTTCAACACTTTTCCACATAAATTCTTGTGCCACTTTTAAATATTACTACATTTTTTCTAAAGATTATTGAACTAATAATTAGTAATTTCACTTTTATAGTTCTTTTAAATGATTTTAATGTATCTAACTTGCGAAAATTGAATGCAGATGCCGAAATCAAAAATGTTTGTGGTGGCTTGGCTTAGGGTAATGTAGATCGACTTTCGTCCAAACGACTTTTCATCGAACTGTATGAGCCTATATTGCGACTTGCCAAAAGCCAACAGTATTGCCAACCTAGAAGAGTTGGGCATAGATTAATGAATGCATAGACAACGAAAAATTCAGATCGGCAGATGTCGTTCATATCGTTGCTGGGGTTTGAGTGAAAATATTGAAATCACTCAATTCTAAAATGTTAAAAAATATCATAAACTGTAGGATATTTGTCATTTAAAAATTGTTCCATTTTAAAAGATATGTGAAAATTACGTGATGACATCGAAAAATACGGGAAAAAATCAAGTTTAATTCTTGAAAAACGTTAAAATGTTTTTTCGAAGTCGAGTAGATTGAGCTGCTGAGAGCCACATGCATAAAAAATCAAATCTAACTTTTCGTTGTCTATAAATTCATTAGTCTATGAAAGGGCTAGGAGTTGAATTTTTACAATTATTTTATTACAAAATCTCCATAGGTATCAAATGCATTTTATTTGTATTCTCTTAACAATAAAAAACGTAACTTTTTGTAAAAAAAAAAATAACTTAAATTAACAAATGTATTTTTTATTTTTTAAACAAAGGATAAACGGAACGGAAAATATCAACTATTTAGATGATGGTATAGGCATCATTTGAAAACCACCGCTTGAACCTGAAAATAATAGATTTGAAATGAAAAAAAAATTAATAAATATGAAAGGAACTTTAGAAAATCCGAAAGGGTCATCAGACCCTGATCAAATAGCCATTATCGAAATTCGCGTATATTTCTTTATAATTACCTGTTTTCTTTGCAATCCAGGTGCCACCACCACCACGAGACGATGCCGAACCCCGACCCCTTGAGCTACGTTTTCCTCTCGTCGATGGAGAACCAAAAACTTTTTTACTGCCATATTTCCGGGATGGACTCACAGAAGCTGCAGCAGCTGCGCCTCCCCAACTTGAGGAAGAACCTCCACGTGATTTTTTGGCACTGCCACCTTTGGAACGCCAACTGCGTTTTCGTTTACCGCCACGATAACGACCACCACTCCCACTGTTTGCACTGCCTTGTGATGCGGCTGCCCGACTCCAATCTCCCTCATTCTCATCACAACCATCGCTATCATCGCCCTCATCGGAATCATTTATAAATCCACCACCACCGCCGCCTGCACCTACACCACTAGAAGTTGCCTTCTCCGGTTGCATCTCCTCCAAATCCATAAAAACACACAATTTTTCCGCCGCATAATTTCGCGTAATTTCCAATAGCTTGGCACCATATTTATCGAAATTGGCCTTGGTTACATGCGGTATGGAACACATTTCCGCTTCGGTTTCAGGCAATTGTTCAGCCATTGCCTTGATGGCTTGAATATTCATAATACTGGCCATGGTGACATTACGCTGCGCCGCAATTGTACGACACAAATCCAAGAGATCGGAATAACAACGATGATATATATCGGTGAGCAGTTCATTGCTCTTTGAGTTCGCTGTTCCAGATGATTTGGCCAAGTCATTGGCATTGCTGGTTGAGGCAGACGTTGACACTTGGCCACGACCCTGTTTCCTTGTCAGCGCGAATTCCATTTTAATACTCTCCTTCATTAATTTCTCTATCCTGGGACCCAAATAGATATACGCCTGTGGTATATCATTGGCAAATATCAAATCTTCACGCAAGTATTCCTGTACAACCATAATGCGCAATAGCCGCTGAATATCGGCCTTGTCCCACTCTTTGAGTATGCCGTGATGTCGGGTCTTGTTGTGTTTGAATTCAACGATCTTTTTAATATTCGAACCCTTGAGGACATCCGCTGGAAATGTATAAAGTTATCAAATAATTTTGTTATTTTTTTCTTATTGTTATTATTATTTTCCTACCAATATGCAGAAGCGTAAATCGTGATCGACCGCTACACAGCTCCTTGATACAATGGGCGACTTTTCGACAATATTCCAAGGGATTTATTAGCTAAAAAATAAGGAGAGAAGAAAATCATTAGAGCAAAATCTAATGGGGACTAACTGGATTAAAATGAAAGCCAAAAAATTTCCGCCCAGCCTCTCAATTAACACCGGCATTTGACAATAATATCCCAATGTTTTTAATTCGAAACCGCCTTTTTGGCTTCTTTTCAGTTTGATTTTTATACCCTCCACCATCGTACGGAGGGTACATTAAGTTTGTCATGCCGTTTGTAACACCTCGAAATATATATTTTAGACCCCACAGAGTATATATTCTTGGTCAGCATAAAATTCTATGACGATTTAGGGTCTGCCCGTCTGTGGAAATCACTCTAGCTTCCGAAAGAAATGAAGTAGTTTGATAAAATTTTACTCAAATGTATATTATGTCTGCAGGACTTTTGGCCTTGAAAATAGGCCATGTAGGTCCACGTTTTGGTATAGCCCCCATATAATGGTATCTCCGTATTTTCGGTATTTTGCGGATTTAAGCGACATTATTCACCGGAAATGTTTTAAATTTGGTAGTTGAAGTTCGTAATGGATTCCACAGCTTATGACAGAAAATTGTCTGTGCTAGTCCACGTCTTCGTATAGCCTTCATATAACGGTACCTCCCGATATTCGGTATTTTGATGATTTTAGCGACATTATTCACCGGTAATGTATCAAATTTCGTATTCGAAGTTCGTAATGGATACCACAGCTATGACAGAAAATTGTTCAGGTCCACGTTTTGTATAGGCCCCATATAATGGTAACTCTCTATATTCGGTATTTTGATGATTTTTGCGACATTATCTACCGGAATTGTTTCAAATTTGTTATATGAAGTTCGTAACAGATACCACAGCATATGACAGAAAATTGTCTGTGCAGGTCCACGTGTTGATATATAATATAATATAATATAATGGTACCTCCGTATTTTCGGTATTTTGATGATTTTAACAATATTATTCACCGGAAATGTTTCAAATTTGGTATTTGAAGTTCGTAATGGGTACCCTAGCCTAAGACAGAAAAATGTCTGTAAAGGCCCACGTCTTCGTATAACCCCCATACAACGCCACCTTCCGATATTCGGTATTTTGATGATTTTAGCGACATTATTAACCGGAATTGTTTCAAATTTGGTATTTGAAGTTGGTAATGGATACAACAGCCTATGACAGAAAATTGTCTAAGCAGGTCCACGTGTTGATATATAATATAATATAATGGTACCTCCGTATTTTCGGTATTTTGATGATTTTAGCAATATTATTCACCGGGATTGTTTCAAATTTGGTAGAGCGATTGGCCGAACTTTTTTACTTATCCTTCTACTTTTTAGCTTACCGAATACTGTTGTTGTTTTAGGCAATTATCACACGCTGTCGAACGATTCTTTAAACATTCATCTCGCGTGAAATGTTCACCAAAATAATCCAGCTGTTGGGCTCGACGACAATCGGCAACATTTTCACAATAGCCAACAATGCGATTTAAATTTTCAATGTGGATATTTTTGATGGTTATTGCCATGGATTTGTCCACTGGAAAAGAGAAGGAAATTATTATTAAAATCCCCACCACAAGCAACAAAAACAAGCCAGAACTTACTGTCCATCATTTTACGATAGCGCATCATATCGCCATAGTTATAATACAAAATACAATGGGCCAGTTCCCCGTCACGACCAGCTCTACCGGCTTCTTGATAATAACCTTCTATCGATTTGGGCAGTGAATAGTGCAAAACAAATCTCACATCCGGTTTATCAATGCCCATGCCAAAGGCAATGGTGGCACATATGACACGATATTTATTTGTTATCCAATCTTTTTGTCTGGTCTCACGCACGCTGTCCGACAGGCCCGCATGATAGGAACATGCCTTAATACCCGATCTACACATAGCCTGGGCTACCTCATCACATTCTTTGCGCGACAGGCAATAGATGATGCCACTATGACTGGAGGGTCGTGCCTGTATGAAATTTTTCATATCCTCCAGCGTTGAGGAACCTTTTTTCGGCAATACCGTATACTTGAGATTACTGCGATTGAAACTCGACAGAAACCATTTGGGTTTGGGTAAGTTGAGTTGTTTTAAAATATCCATTCTTACACGTGGTGTGGCAGTGGCTGTCAACGCCATGGTGGGCACCTTGGGGAAACGTTTTCTCAAAATACCCAGGCGTTTGTAGTCAGGACGAAAATCATGACCCCACTGCGACACACAATGGGCTTCGTCTATCACAAAACGCGCAATGTTATTTTTGGCATACAGACTGTCGAGCAGGTCTTGGAATTTGGCAGAGCTGGAAATTTTCTCAGGTGTAACGTAGAGTATCTTGATGCGTGGCGGTGAGGTTTCCAAGTCACAGTATATTGCCCGTTGTTCCGTCAACGACTGATCACCGGAAAAGCTTTTGGCATATATCTGGAAACAGAAGCCATTTACAATTAATTCTGTTTCGTTCATAAATTACACTCTAACTTACATCCAAGGAGGCCATTTTGTTGACTTGATCACAAATCAAAGACTTCAGCGGGCTAATGACAATGGTCACACCCTCGGTCAAGATGGCAGGCAGTTGATAGCACAGCGATTTGCCACCACCGGTGGGCATCAACACAAAACAATCATGACCCAACAGGGCGGCATTAATAACTTGCAGCTGATTTGTGCGAAAACTCTTCAGACCAAAGTTGATACGCAGCGCCTCAAAAAGCCGCTTTGAATGAGGATAATTACTGCCATCAAATTCCCCAGTGATGCCATCATTTTGTACATTAGAATGAAAATTCCCGGCCACCTTCTGTGCCGAAGCCGTAAGATTGGGTCGTTTATCCAATCGATTTGATGATGTGGGCGTTTTCATTGCATCCATTAGCATCGAGGCTCGACTACTTGTTGTGGGCGTATCCGCATCATCAATGAGGATGGTCGATGTAGAGCCACTATAACGTTTAGAGCTATTGAGGGCGGCGGCAGCTTGAGAATGAATCAGTTCAAATTTCTCCGGATCATAGGTCTGAAAAAGAAATAAGATCATGATTTTTTCATAACTTAATTTTCATAGACCAGATGGTCTTCTTATAGAAGGCTAGAAGGTCTTCTCAGAGAAGGCCAGAAGGTCTTCTCAAAGAAGGCCAGAAGGTCTTCTAAAAGAAGACCAGAAGGTTTTCTCAAAGAAGACCAGAAGGTCTTCTCTGAGAAAGCCAGAATGTCTTCTAATAGAAGGTCTTCTCAGAGAAGGACAGCAGGTCTTCTCATAGAAGACCAGTAGGTATTCTCATAAAAGGCTAGAAGGTCTTCTCATAGATGGCCAGAAGGTCTTCTCATATAAGGCCAGTAGGCCTCCTCATAGAAGGACAGTAGGACCTCTCTCAGAAGGCCAGAAGGTCTTCTCTGAGAAGGCCAGAAGGTCTTCCCTGAGAAGGCCCAGAAGGTCTTCCTTGAGAGGGCCATAAGGTCTTCTCATAGAAGGCCAGAAGGTCTTCTCTGAGAGGGCCATAAGGTCTTCTCATAGAAGGCTAGAAGGTCTTCTCATAGATGGCCAGAAGGTCTCCTCATAGAAGGCCAGTAGGACTTCTCTGAGAAGGTCAGATGGCCTCTCCCGAGCAGATCTTCTAGCCTCCTACAATGAAGACCTCCTTAAATATGAAGACCTGCCAGGTCTTCTTATAAAAAAATCATAAATGTTAATCCTCACCTCAAAACCATCTTCATCTAATTCCACCACAGAATTCCCCAGATCATTGGTTGTAGCCGGAAATGTAATGCGCCTGGTCGGCGATGGTTCACGAACTCGACCCTTGAAATTTTCTATTTCACCATAAGCATATTGATTGTATTCCGAACGTCTTCCCTTTAGCTCGGCATCTTGTTCCCTAATGTCATTCAACAAATCATCCAATTCACAATCGTCCGCATCATCATCAACACCATCATCATCAACGGTCACTGTGGACACACTGGTTTTATTATTTACACTATCATCACAATCGTCTAGCATAATGGTTTCCTGTAAATATTTGGCCTGTGAGTCTTCATAGTCAGTGCCATCATCATCATCGTCGCACAAATCATTGATAATTCTTTGCCTTTGACCTTGGAATTCCTTGGAATTAGTTAATGGCCGTGATTTAGGGGCAGTGGACGGTTGTGGTAGTAAATCTTCGTCATCATCTGGAGCGCCATTGCATATTATTGCCTGTTCAGCTTGCATTTGTCGTTCTTCCTCTTCCATGGCGTCCACATCGAAATCGGGTTCAGATTCAAAATTGATGGGCGGAAGACGGCTTTTAACAGACGGTTGTTGTGGTTTTTGCTGTTGCAAAGTTATTCTGCTGTCATTCATTTGTTTTTGTTCCATTTTCATTTGTCTTTCCTCCTCCTCCAGGGCATCAATATCATCGAAGTCATTTGGTTCACCATTAAAGAGATTCTTATTTCTGGCGTTTTCTTGTTTCTGTTCGGCCTTCATTTGTCGCTCTTCCTCCTCCAGCTGATCTATGTTGAATTTTCCTCCCATATTATTATTCTTTGTACTAGGTCCAGCCTTAGCCACATCTTTCTCCAGTTCCATTGATTCTTTCTGTTCACGTTTCTCCAAAGTATTTTGCAGCAATTTGTTTTTGGCCTTGAATTTTTGTCTCATTATTTTCAATTTCAGAAAGGTACCCGTTTCAAAGCCCCCTATGCCATTGAAATAATCAACTGGGATTTGATCCACAATATTGCAATACTTTTCCATTAATTCGTTGTAGGTGGTTTTGAAAAAGGCCAAACTGGCTTTCAAGACATGGATGTTATCCTGCAAAAGAAGATCGACATGAAATTGTTACCTATGAACTCTACTTCCAATTAACTTACCTCATTCACATTGGTCTTAAAATGATGGCTCTGGGTAAGGTCACACAGATAGGAGTTAAGGCCATTTTCAAAGACCACACTAACATCTGATTTTCGTGGTTTTTTATCTTCAGGCTTTTCACACTTGACTTCCTCCTGAGATTCTTTTGCAATTTTACATGTACCAGTTTCCTTTCCGCTTTCCAAACTAGTCTCCTTTTTTATTTCTTTTTCAGTTTCTTTGGCGAATGGCTCCTTTTTCACATTGGGTTTATAGGTCATATTCACCAAATCATCAAAACTATCGGTGGAGGCATTTAACTCTCTTTTTGGCGTCACATCGTTGTCAGTCAATGCCACCGACTTGCCGATCTTCTTATCTGGTGTCAGCGAATATTTACAACGTTCCTTGCTGACCTTTTCTACCGTGTCATTAAGACTTTTCATGGCATTTTGATATGTTGATTCAATATCATCGAAATTAATCTTCATTGGCGATGGACTATTGAGAGTAGTTCGGCTGGAAACAGGTTTATCGGGACTTTTGGAAATTACCTTTTTTATTTTTGCTGGGGCCAACGGCGATTTGGTATCGTCTTCAAATAAATATTTCTTGATGAGAGCACTTGTGGTTTTACTGCTGTTAAGATTTTGATTTTCTTTACTACTTTTCTGTGATTCGCTGGTTTTGGAATTTGCATCATCGGTATCAATGTCATCTTCATCGGAGGCTGAATCAATATAAATGGGATTTATTTGCCTTGTGAATTTAGGTTTGGTGACGATTTCTTCTGAAATATAAAATCAAGGAAATATTATTAAACCTGAAATATTTTCATGAAAATCAAGTTTGGGATGGAGGACAATGGCTTCATTACTTTCCCAGACCAATCATACACTTTCCTCTCAAGAATTTTCAGTCTTCAAGTTTTAGAAGGAAGCCATAAACACTGGCATGCAATGATATGAACCCAAACTGCAGATCTTCATGTTGCCATTGATTTGCTTACCTTTCTTCTTTTGCGAACAGCCAAGAAATGAGCTCAACGAAGTTTGTTTACTTTTGGAGCCCATGCCTCCGCTTGGTGCTCTTTGCGATGATGATAGTTTACGAGACATCTTGATAATATGTGTTTGAATTTCAATGGTTGCTTAGAAAGGAGCACAATCTATTTGTTAATATGTACACACTGTTTCGGATATTTCCTGCAAATTCTTCTTTATTCTGTCGAACATGGAACCAATGAACAATTCCCCACTGACTGGATGACATCCAGCATCTGACCAAGCCCGCGCGCTCTTTTTTACTACCAAAATTAAATGCGTTCCAAGGAATGTGAAAGAGCGAATTGAAAGAGAATGGGTAATAAAAATTTGCGAAAAACAAATGAATGTTTTGTTTACGAATGGGGTGTGATGAATTGATATCGATATGTTGATACCAGTTGTTTTATTGATAACTGAATGTGATTATTAGTGTTCGCTTAAAAAGTTATAGATTCTTACAGGTTCTGCAAACAGAACATATTTTTGATTATTAATTTTCTTGGTCCAGGTAGGTTTATTGATTTGGGTTCTATTAAGCTTATAGACCTAAGTTTTGTAAATAAAAATTCCTCTTTATTTCATTTTTCCCGACGTTTCGTCAATGTTTGTTGACATCTTCAGGGGATACGTAATAAAATTGGATTAAGTTTACATGAAGTATTTCGTCAAGTTCAACAACACAAAACCTTAATAACTAATATCACAGATTACTATATTGCAATGCGATAGCTAACACTTATGTTGTTTGTGTCCTCTTTGAGGTTCATCGTCCTTTCCTTTTTAACTAATAATAGACAGTATTAATAAATAATAACTATTGAAACGATACGATTTTTCTGAATTTATTGAATTTATTAATCAATCAAGGACGCGCTAAAAGCCCAAAACCAAGGGACACCAAGTCGACTATCGATCGATGGTTTTAAGCTTAAATATCAGTTGCACGGTAAAATCATAGTAAAACTAAGGAGGTAAAGTCATGCAATCATATGTTTGCATTTTTTTTCAAATTTATACATTTGACAACACCGCATTATCAAAATGTTTATTATAAATCCATTGTATGTACACAAATCGGAGATGGGAATCTTTATTCAATGACGTTTAATTTGATAAGCTAAATTACAGAAAAATACAGAGCTGGATGTTATTGTTTGAAATGAGGTTATCTTATATGACGAGTGGCATATTTAAAAAAATAATAGATTGTTTTCGGCGTTCCTGGGAACATAAAAAAGTTGCATGTCCCATATTTAAGAAAGACTAAAGCTGCAAGTACATAAGAAGCTTGAAGTCATGGCTAGGCATATTTTGTAACATTTCATAAAGGGAGTACAGAGCCGCACTAAAATCCTGCCGTCATTATCCATTATAACTTGACATTAATATACCTAGCCTTGACTTCAAGCCTTTTATGTACTTGCACCCTAATTTTATTTATCTTGTCTTGAGCCTTAACATAAAAAAGGAGAGATTATTTAACCCTTCATCTTAAGGAAACATTCTCTCTGTTCCTGTGTGGTCCTCGAATGATTTTTTGTTGTTAATCAGTCTATAATGAGCAAAACCCAAGAGTAAAAGACTGAAAATTTTGACAAAATCATCACAAATCTGCCATGTGGATTCTGTATGGAATTTGTTACACTTCCGGTGAATAATGTCGCAAAAATCATTAGAATATCGAATATCGGAAGATACCATTATAGGGGGAATATACGAAAACGATAACCTGCAAACGAAATTTTTTGTCGTACGCTGTAGTACCCATTACGAACTTTAAATACGAAGTATGTTGTAATTTCGGCGAGTATCGGGAGGTACGGTCATATGGGGGCTATACGAAGACGTAGGCCTGCATATGCAATAGGTTATAGTACCCATTCCGGTGAATAATGTTGCTGAAATCTTCAAAATACCGAATATGGGGAGGTATCGTTATATGGGGGCTATACGAAGACTTGGACCTGCATAGGCCATTACGAACTTTAAATGTGAAATTTGAAACAATTCCGGTAAATAATGTCGCTAGAACCATCAAAATACCGAATATCCTGAGGTACCGTTATATGGGAGTTATACGAAAACATGGACCGACATGGCCTATTTACGAACTTAACCTGCCTACTGGTAAACCATCCATGTATGCAAAATTTTAGCCTTGTATTTCAATTCGTTCGCTTGTATTTCGTTTTAGCCTTGTATTTCAACAACAGGGTCTATTAAGAATATTTCGAAGAGTTACAAGCGGAATGTTATTAGCTTTGACATTCCGTGGAGGTGTTGGAGGGTGTATCGATACTTGTCCTAGCAGCCTCAAAATAATACTTTGAAACAAAATGCAACCATTTCATAATCAAGCCTTGTTACGTGCCACCTGCTTCGGCACTATGGTGTTGTGGCCGCTAGCTCAGGAGCCATGTTCAGGGGTTGGTTCCATCCCATACACCAATAGCCTTGGGGACGAACAATTAAACAATTAATGGATAAATACAAATTCTACATAACACAAACACTACGTACACCTGGAACAAAGGAGTTTGATATTGCCACTCCCACACTAGCCCGCCCAACCTTGACCCTGAGATCCTACATAACTGTCAATTTTATCAGGGCCCCGTATTCCACACCCACTCCCCTCAGTACAATGTACACCAAATTCACTCTCTCATGAATGAACTAGACAATCATGATTACACAAACAATCATATTACGAACAATTTATTAATATATAAGATTTCCTTAAAATAGAACAAACAAGCTGAAATTTGAAACATTAACTATCAGGATCTCTTAGTCATTGTTTGAGGAGTTCATATATATCAGACCACCCTTCATTACTTCAGTCAACTAAATGTCATCAAATTTAGGACTTTCTAAGTTATGCAATTAGTACCTGCCTAAACGAGCTCTCTTAGGTGGTGAGGGACCCGCAAACTGGTCCACAATATTCAACGGAACCTCAAAAAAAATCTTGATTATAACACTCAAAGTAATTTGGGGTAACCCTACACTCCAATTTACTTATAAAATTTAGAATAGTTAATGTCCCTCACAAAAACAAGAACATTTATGCTGGACACAAAAAAAAACACAAATAATAAACTTAGACAACACAACTTAACCTAAATATATTATCTTAATTAAAAATTTGAATATTATATTAGTTCTTTCTCTTAATTTATATGAATTTTTCTGCCTTTTGCTTTTTCTTAAGATTTTATTTAATGGAATTTCTCCTTTTTTCTGTTGCAGGGTCTCCCTCCTGGTTCTGGTTTTTATTTTTATGCCAGTGGTTGTATCAAACAAGCGGTAAGTTTAATAAATAACTTTGTTACCTGGCTTTTTGCATTCTTTAGTACAACCTGCTTTGTTTTTTTCCAGGATCACTCTTCCGCGACCTCGTCCACCAGGATAAAGCAGAACCCGGATATCATGGATCAAGGGAATTGGTGTTATGGAGGCGGTTGCTGGGGCCTCAATTTTGCGTTGTGGTGGTTGCTGTGGCCGTCAAAGATGGGCTGACCTCTCCGCTTTTGTTCGCCGAGGAGGCCAGTTGATACCCTCGAGAAATTTAAATTATTTTGGCGAAACAAATCAATTACTAACGCCTTCACCATAAATAATAAAATAAATATCGAGGCTTTTATTGCCTTAAAAAAAGTAATTTTTATTTTGAAATTTGGCAGGTTTTAATTTTTTTTTACTTTTATGACCACTATTTTACTGTCGCACCACTTGAATAATAAGGGCGCGTTTTCCTTTTTCCCCCTTTTATACCTACGGGAATGACGCGGCATTTTTCCGCTTTTCGGCTTTTCCTTAATTTTTCCTGACATTTACCTTCTTTATGATACCGACCTAACGAGCCCTTACAATATCGCAGGTTGTATTTTCGATTAATTTATCTACCAAATAATCGATCCAAATACAACACTGGCAGTGGTGGCAATTCTAATTACCATTGGGACAGAACATTTCCGCTTCATTTTTTAAACACGGGTTGCTGCGGTTTGCACGTCGCGGATGTTAGCTAAAAAAACATCAATTAAAAATTAAATAGTGCCCACCACGCAACAAAACTTCACCGTTTCTAGGCATCTGCAAAAGAAACGGTGATGTGCGTTTGGTTTCGCCATCGTTTCGTTCGTTAGAATTACCTAAAGTGATAGTGATTTCAGTGTGATAGCAAGACACATATCCAAGTATTCAGAAATCCCATTTCTGCAAAAAAAAAAAAAAAAAAGATCTGTCGATCCTTCGCCCTCGGACATTGTACCGCATTTTCCTGAAGGTAAGCATTCTTATTTGATTGTAGGCTCATAGTTAATTTCATGTTTTCCTATTTTTTTAGGTACTCTCGCTTGAATTTGTCAATGAATGCTTGGCGAATACATGGTTTTTTGCATGTGTGTGTGTGTGTTTGTGTTCGTTCATCGCAAAAACCAAACCAACGGTAGTTCAGCGGAATGCGGTTTTATGGTGGCGGTTTGCACACACACATGAGAACACATTTCATTGAGGCGTCATTTAAATGACATTGAAAAGCAAACAGAACAAAAAGAAAACGTGTATGAAGAGTCGGTATGGTGTTAACTTGCTGCATGGCGTGGATGGCAGCGCTGCCGCTGTTGCCATTCCGTTTACATCGATCGACAAGCAGATCGTTTCGCTCTGCTTTTGTTCAGCCACATGCACGCGCAGGTATATTACGTTCCTTAAACTGATAATAGCTCTTACCCTTTATTCACTTATATTTCAATACTAATTATATTATTATTTTTTTCAGGCCATGCTTGGTACTTTATAAACAGACAAATTCGTGAAATTTTGTGTACAAATAAAGTGAATTTAACCAATATTCTTCGACACTAGTGAAAGGAGGCTGAAATTATACAGGCTGAACAACATAACTTGACGTTGATGTCTACAGTAATTTGGAGGACATTATTAGCATCTCAGGTATGTCGTACTTTTTTTATGAGTTTATTGTGTGTACCATCTCAGTGAAAATTTAAATTGTTTTGTATTCTCCGGAAAAAATCGTTATCAACACAATATTAAAGAAATATTGTACCTCACACACTTAAAATTTTTTTATGTCGTGCAATTTCTAGACTTTGTATAATAATAGGATTCTGAATTTGTGCAAGAAGAATCTTCACGTTTCCAAAGAGACTTCTGGAATATATTATTTCTCTGAAAAAATTAGTATTGACATGAACTACCTGGGGTAGAGCGAATATGAATCACATGTCCCCATATATTTTACCTGCGTAATCACAAAACAATTGCCGATGAAAAAATAATATAAATTTTGTGATAATTCATCTCATATTGAAAGTAAATACTTTTTCGATTGCTATCACCCAGGGTGCAATGAGTAGGTAAAAGAAAAGTGTTGCATCTAATTAAAAAAAAATTCTACGGAATAATAATGAATAATTTGAATAATTACGGAAAATAATTGAATATTTGCGGACAACCATTTCTTCACATGATGGAGAAAATTAAAAAAAATTTTTTGTGAGTTACATTGGACATTCAAATCTAATTGTCTACGCTTTGATTTAGAGGTCTATTATATTACATTTTTATTTGTATTTGCTGATCTATTAGCGCCGGTTATGGAATCCTTCCCAATTGATGATAAAAATGGTAGAAAAAATATGAGGGTAAAATGATGATAATTGAAACCCTGTAGATTGAATCCCTGTTTCATTTAGAATAGACATGTCTTAGTCCCAACGTGGGGAACTCCCACGCCCTGATTTTATGTCTCAAAAGCCGGGCTAATCTAAATCGTCTATAATTGGATTACAATAGTGAATTATAACAAATATTTTAATATTCCTAGATAACTAAATTTCATAATTTCGACATAAGTTCCTAAAACCAGGATTGCCTTATATATATTTTCCACTAAATTCATTCCGCTTCCATGTTTACGCAAAACATTCACGAATGACACAATAAGCACGTATATAAAAACTCAACGCAACACAGATAATCTAATATTGCACTAAAGTATTTTTTTACAGCTTACGGTACATTTGCTCACATTATTGAATACATATATAAACAAAAGAACATCGTGTATAAACAAAATTATTGCATCATAGATTAACTCTGCTTAATCTAGTATTGCACATAAATTATCTTATCACAGCTTGTTATACTTTTGTTTATATTTTTATATCCTTTGCGTGGAAATTACCAAGTGGTTTTCCTTGGAGCGTTTCTAGCTCATACATATTATTGCCCACTGGTTTTACTACCCTACATTTCAGGAATTTCTTGCAGAACTTCGCATTGATATTATTTTTGAAGTCTGAAAGGGTATGATTTCTCCTATACACTTCCTGTCCCGGTAGAAACTTGACAATACGTGCTCGTTGGTTGTACCTTTTCGCACTAGATATATAAGCTTGGTGTGTGTTTTCTTTTATTCTCTCTCGCATTAATTCTAATTTATCTGATCGATTTATTTGATCAATTTGGTGATCAGTCAGGGATTGGAGTTTTTTTGCCAGTTTGTAATCGGTTCCGCTAGTGAACATGTTATAACCAAATAATGCGAAAAAAGGATTGGTTCCAGTTGCTGAATGTACTGAGGTTCTCAATGCTTGTTCGATTTCCGCTAAATAAAGATCCCAATCCCGGTGATCGTTTTCAACATACGTTCGTATGGCGGCTAATACTGACTGATTTACTCGCTCTGATGCGTTAGATTGCGGAGAGTAATAGGCTGTGGTGATGTGGGTGATTTTGTAATCTTTTATCATATCCGCGAAAACTTTTGAGGCGAACTGTTTTCCGTTGTCGCTGTGTATGATCTCGGGTACCCCGAATGTATGGAAGACTTGATTTTCCAGAAATTTTACCACGTTATATGCAGTGGCTTCTCTCATCGCGTGTAGGAATGTGAATTTCGTAAAATGATCGACTACTATAAAGATGTAGGAATTGCCTTGTTTTGATCTGGGATACTTTCCCAGAAAATCTATATACAACTTCTGGAAAGGTCTCTCAGTTATAACTTCGTTGCCTATCGTAGGGTTCATACGCTGATTTGCCGATTTCGTTTCTTTACACGTTGTACAATTTTGTATGAATTGTCGTACCTGCGATGACATTTTTGGCCAATAAAAATAAGTTTTTAATCGTTTTAAGGTTTTCGTTATACCATCGTGGACCGAGCTACCGTAAATGTGTGCTTTCTCAATCAGTACATATGTTATGTCCTGAGGTATCCACAGTTTCCACTCAAATTCCATCATTTCTTGCTCAAAATTTTTGGTTCGAACATAGATTTTATCATTGTCGATTTTTAAATCCGGCAAACGATCTTGGTTTTGTTGTATGGTGTTGCGCAACTCGACATATTCTTCACTTTCAAATGCCGTAGTTTCGAAATCCAATATATTATCGTCACACAATTCCTCTACAACGACATCAGACTCAACCGACATTCGAGACAGTGTGTCCGCTACAACATTTTCCGATCCTTTCCGATGTTCAATTGAAAAATCGTACGCCTGAAGTTGAAGTGACCATCTCGCCAGTCTTCCACTTAAATCTTTTAAGGACATCAGCCACTTAAGACTGGCATGATCCGTGATGATTGTGAACTTCATAAGCTCGACGTACGGACGGAACCTTTTTACCGCTAAAACTGCGGCCAAACATTCCTTTTCTGTGACGGAGTAATTCTTCTGGGCGGAATTCAGTTTTTGGGAATAAAAAGCGATAGGGTTCTCTCCGCCAAATTCATTCTTTTGGAAAAGTACTGCTCCTATTCCATATTCCGAGGCGTCGCATTGAATAAAGAACTCTCTATTAAAGTCAGGGTGCCTGAGAACCGGTGCGGATGTGAGAGCATATTTTAGAGATTGGAAAGATTGCATCGCTTCCGGAGTCATTACGAATTTTTTTCCTTTTTTTAAAGTATCTGTTAGGGCGGAAGATATGGATGCAAAATCTTTTATAAATCTCCGGTACCAACCGGCAGTACCGAGAAAACTTCGCACTTCCCTCGGCGATTTTGGTGGCGGTATCCTCTGGATAGCGCTCACCTTTTCTGGATCAGTCTTCAACATCCCGCTACCGATTATGAATCCAAGGTATTTCAACTCTCGAAAACAGAATAACGACTTTTTGAGTCCAATCGTCAGATTCGCTCTTTGCAGGCATTCAGCTACTTCTTCCAAAATTCTGACATGGTTCTCAAAATCATCAGCTATAATCAGGAGATCATCCAGATATATGAAAACATTGGATTTTAGTCGTCCTGGGATGACCTTATCCATCAACCTGCATAATCTTTGCGCCGCATTGCAAAGCCCAAACGGCATGACCCTGAATTGATATAGTGGTCGACCTGGTACTGTAAAGGCGGTATATGGCTTCGCTTCTTCTTCCAACTCAATCTGCCAGAAGGCATACTTCAGGTCGACACTACTGATAAAATGGGTTTGATCAATTCGGCTTAATATTCCATCGATATTCTGTAATGGATATGCATCCTTCACCGTTAGGGCATTTAGTTTCCTCGCATCGAGGCAGAAACGATTCTTGTTCGGTTTTCGCACGACGGTAGTACGATTACTCCATGGCGAATCACTCTCCTCAATAACTTTCAGAGCGAGCATTTTATCTATTTCATTA